CACAACAGTCAGAATGGCTAAAATTAACAAGTCAGAAAATGACAGGTGTCGGCGAGGATGCAGAGAAAGGGGAACTCTCCTACACTGTTGATAGGAATGCAAGCTGGTGCAGCCCATCTGGAAAACAGCATGGAGGTTCCTCAAACAGTTGAAAATAGAGCCACCCTATGACCCAGGAATTACACTACTGAGTATTTATCCTAAAGATACAAACGTAGTGCTCCAAAGGGACACGCGCACCCCAATATTTATAGAAACAATGTCCATAATAGCCAAACCATGGAAAGAACCTATATGTCCAACAACAGATGAATGGATAAAGAAGATGTGGTTCATATATACAATGGAATACTATGCAGTCATCAAAAGAAATGAAATCTTGCCATTTGCAACGACGTGGATGGAACTAGAGGGTATTATGCTGAGCGAAATAAGTCAATCAGAGAAAAACAATTACAATATGATCTCCCTGACATAATGAATTTGAGAGGAAGGGCAGAGGGTTGTGGGGGGTAGGGAAGGAATAAATGAAACAAGATGGGATCGGGAGGGAGACAAACCATAAGAGACTCTTAATCTCACAAAACAAACTGAGGGTAGGGGGGTAGGGAGAGGGTGGTTGGGTTATGGACATTGGGAAGGGTATGGGCTCTGGTGAGCGCTGTGAACTATGTAAGCCTGATGATTCACAGACCTGTACCCCTAGGGCTAATAATACATTATATGTTAATAAAAAATAAAAAATTATTTAAAAATAACGAGTTTAGAAATGTGGCAGTATAAAAAATTAAAGTACAAACATCATTGCATTCTACACACCAGCAGCAAGCGGTGATATAGAGATGACACTACGTGAGGTACTATGAAGATATCAAGGAACTAAGAATAAATCTAACAAAAGATGTATATGATACTTTATGATGTATTAATTTGTCGATTTCCCCCAAAATGACCTAGGGATTCAATGCAAATCCATCCAAAATCACAATAGGACTAGCTGTGGACTCCGATAAAAATAATCATGATGTTTGTATAGAAGGAAATGAGTCAAGAAGGACCATAACCCTCATCTAAAGAGAGGCAACCTGCTGCCCAGATGTGGAGACAGCGCGGCACTGGTGCAGGGGTGCAAAGTCACCTGTGGACCAGACTAGAGACTCCAGAGACGGACCCACACTGGTGCACAAAGCGGGAAAGAAAGGGACTTTTCAACAAATAAATGGAAAAGGTAGTTGTCCCTATGGACAAAGATAAAATTTGATTCTTATCATACCATATTCAAAAATCAACTCCAGATAGGCTAGGACTTATACGTCAAAGACAATTTTGGAACTCTTAGTAATACATGTAGGTAAATAATAGTTTAAACCTCAAGGTAAGGAAAATTTTCTTTTTTTCAAGATTTTATTTATTTATTTGGCAGAGAGAGAGAGGGAGAGAGAGACAGCAAGAAGAAGGAAGGGGAACGGCAGGCAGAGGGAGAACAGACTCCCTGCTGAGCAGGGAGCCCCAAGCGGGACTCCATCCCAGGACACTTAATTTAACTTAAGGCAGGCGCTTAACCAATTGAGCCACCCAGGCATCCCAGGAAAAACTTAAGACAAAAATAGCACTGACTAAAAAAAAAAAAAAAAATACTGATAACTTCGGCCACACTAAAACTCACAATTTTCATCAAAAGATAGTTTTTAAAAGCTGAAAATACAGGGTGCCTGGGTGGCTCAGTCATTAAGCATCTGCCTTTGGCTTGGGTCATGATCCTGGGGTCTTGGGATCAAGGCCCACAGGGGGATAAGGGTGCCAGAGATGGGTGAATGTATATCACTGTTTGGTTCTAATTATGTTTTTTTTTTTTAAGATTTTATTTATTTATTTGAGAGAGAGAGAGAGAAGGCATGAGCACACGGAGGGGAAGAGGCAGAGGGAGAAGCAGACTCCCGGCTGAGCAGGGAGCACAATGTAGTATTCTTTCCCAGGACACTGGGATCATGACCTGAGCCTGAAAGCAGACGCTTAGCCAGTTGAGCCACCCAGACGCCCCCTAATTATGTTTTTAAAACTACCTGAAAGTGGGCCATGTAAGGACAAACAATGAAACTATGCCATGAACCAAGGATTACGACTAACCAGAGCATGTGCACCCAAGATCCAGTGAAACGAGAAAAATGAAGTAATTAAGGTTCTGTACCATATAATAAAATAAGAAAAAGATATAAAACGTGCAATGATAGCAATGAAAAAGAAAACTCTTCAGATGATATAATTGTGTATATGAAAAATCCAAAATAATTTTCAAATATATTAATAAATTGATGGAAATGTTAGCCAGAAGCCTGGATTAAAAAGAAATTGATCCACAAAAATCAATTCCATTTCTATCAACCAGCCACAATTTGTTGAAGAAATACAAATTTTGATACTACTTATCATAGAAGAAAAAACAGAACACATATAAGACTAAATCTAACTTCCAAAAAAGTATAAGACCATCACAAAGAAAACTGTAGGAGTTTACTGAAAGACACTAAAAGATAAGTAAATGGAGAGATATACCATGTTCATAGATGATAAGACTCAATAATGTAAAGAAGTCCGTTCTCCTTAAACTGATACATGAATTTAATTTCAATAACAATTTTTTTAATTTTAATTCTTTTGATGTGTCTTGACAACCTGGTTCTACAACTTGAATGAAAGTGTAAGGGGTCAAGAACAGCCGAGTCGTTTCCAAGGAAGGAAGCAAGATTGTGGGACTTGCCTAACCAGCATAAAGATATCCTACAAAGCTATAGTAACAAAGACATCATGTCATTGGCCAAGGGCAAGGAACAGACCAACGGAGCGGACCGGGAAGTCCAGAGATACCGTATGTGCAATGGGTGGGGGAGGGGCTTTCCACAGTTGGGTACCCCTGTAACACTGTGATAGGACCTCCTGTCACACCACAGGCAAATTAGCTCCAGGAGCATTAGAGACTTAAAAGCAGGAGCAGCAGCGCTTCTAGAAGAAGCTGCTGGAGATTATTTTCATGACCTCAGGGTAAGGCTATAAGGCATAAAAGTCTCCAACCATAGAGGGAAAAGTTGACCAGCTTAAGTTTATTAAAATTAAGGGGGATTTACATCCAAAGAGACCATAAATGAGCAAAAGACACATCACACAGTGGGGGACAGTATTTGTAAAAGAGTCAACTGAAAAGGGAGAATCCAGAGTTGACGTTGCTCCCACAAATCCAAAAGCAACAGACCCGTGAGTCTGAGGACAAATGGACAAAAGGTTCGAGTGGGCAGTGCTTAGGAGAGGAAAAGTAAATGGCCAACACATGTCTGAAAATAGGCCATTTTATTGGTCAGCGGAGAAAGGCAAAGGAGTCCCACGGCGCTGTGTCCAGAGGCCTTAGGGTGTCTCTCAACGCCCAGGGCTGGCCATAGCCGGGTGATGGCCGTCGGGGAGAGTGCAGTCCAAGGGCACCCCCGTTAGCCACGCCTACACGGCTCAGTGGACCAGGTCCAACAGCCCCACCCCACAGGATCATGTCCACGTGCAATCTGTGAATGTGACATGATTTAGACATAGTCATCGCAGGTGGCATCGAGTTAAGCTGTCACACTGGAGGGAGGAGGGCAGGCCCCAATCTAATAGTGGTGTCCTTCTGAGACCGAAATTTGGACACAGAGGCTCAAAGGAGGAGCACCGTGTGAAGACAGGGCAGAGCCTGGGGAGGCACTCTATAAGCCAAGGGACACCAGGGATGGCCAGTGGTCACCAGAAGCTGGAAAAGACAAGGAGGGACTCTTCCCCACAGCCTTGGAGAGCGTGGCGCTGCCAACACCATGATTCCAGACTTCGGGCTCCAGAATTCGCAAGAATACATTTCCGTCTTTCAGCCCCACCCCGTCGGTGCTGCTCTGTGACAACCCCTGAGCACCCCATCAACGCTTCACTCCTAGGAAGATAACCGTCGAGAGCCGCACAGTGTGTTATGAAAAGTACATGGTGTTTTCCTAACAGCAAAAACACCCTGGAAATCGTCCTCACAGAGGCAAGCTGCTGAGCGGTGGGGCTGGCCAGCCCCCGCGACAGAGCAGACACAAGGCGAGGAAAGAAGGCGGGACAAGGGATGTCCTCTGAGGGCACCGCCAGCTCTGAAGGCATGTGCTCCCGGAGCCCGAGCCCAGAGCCCACGACTCTGGAGGCGGTCTGTGCGCCTTCACCCAACAAACACTCACTGACCCCGGCCACGTGTCATGCACAGCCCCAGGTGCTGCGGTGAGCACAGCGTTAGGGACCTACGCTCTAGGAGACACAGACGGACAGGCTGCAGACAGATGGGGGGGTGGGGGGACAAAGAGGTTGGTGCCAGGGAGGGAGGTGAGGAGAAAAGGAGGGAAGGAGGGAGGAAGGGCGCAGGAGAGAGAAAGAGACCGAGCCCCAGGCAGGTGGAGGGAACACGGTGTGTTTGAGGAGGCAAATGTCCCGGGGCAGAACCAGCGGGGGGTTTGGGGGAGGCCTGGCTCATGCCTTTTCATCACACAGACTCTCAGGCCACCACTGGGTGCCAGACACCTCTAGAGGTGCACTGAAGTTCAGACATGGCAGGGTCACCCCCAGAGCCTTGGGGGCCCCCCACACCTGTCCACCTGTGCTCTGAGCCCAGGCCCAGGACAGGCTCCCAGGCTGCACACGGTCAGCTCCTTCAGGAACTTCAGACAACTGAAGGCAAGAGCCCAGGAATCGCTGGCGCCTGCCCTTGGCACCTGGCACAGTTCGATCCCCCATGAGCATTAGGTCACGTGAGGAGCGAGACAGTCTATCACTCACCCCGTCCCGTGAGGGGTCCCCACCACTGCCGCAGGAGCCCCACCGTCCCCACAGCCCGGCCAGTCCCAGGATGGGGCCGGGGTGCCCCCGAGCCCGCTCTGAGCTCAGGCTGATGCCCACATGGGGACCCGCTCCCTGCCTGGGGTGCAGGCCGCCCCCAGCCGACCCTGCACTGGTACCTGGCGGTTTGGGCGGCTGGAGCAGGGCGCCCTCCGCCGTCTTCACGCTGGGAAGCGCGGACGATAGCAAGGGCTCGTTTGGTATCTTCGGATCCGAGGGTCTGTCGGACTCAGCGTTGGTCGGACCAGTTTTCGGGGACCTGCTGTCTACGTGCTGGAAGTTACAAGTGGGGAACTCGAGCTTCCCGACCGACGGGGTGGTGGCCGACCGCGCTTTGCGGCTCCTGGCGGCGGCCCCCCACAGGGGCGCGGGAACCGTGCGGGGCCCGGGAAAGGTGCGGGGCCCGGCCTGCGCCTCTTTCAGCCTCAGGTCTTGCTGCGGCGCTGTGGTGGGGGCTCCCAGAGGCGGGCTGGGCATGGCCGAGGGGCACCTCACTTTCAGGGGCTGAATGTCCAAGAGGGAAGACGGAAAATTCACGCTGGAGATGGGTGGCATCTGCTTCCTGGCTCTCCTCACGCTGATGCCCTCCACGCAGAGGTCGGACCCGTGGAAGGGGGGCAGCTCCACGGTAGGCTAGGCAGAGGAGGGCGCGCTGGCCCAGTCGCCCAGAGCCCGGCGCCTCCTCCCTGTGTCTGCCACGGCCAGCAGAGGCCTTGCGAGAAGCCTGGGCCTCCCTTCCCTGGGGCTGGGCAGTCCCCCAGCTCCCTCCCCCAGAGAGGCCTGGGCACACGGTACTCCATGGAACCAGAGTCCCCAGCAAAGTGACCACCCAGCCCTGCCGCCTGGCCTGCAGGAAGGCTCCCAATAGGGACTAGGCGCAGGACCTCTGAAGGAGGACACCATTTTCTCCAGGCGGGAGGAGGGAAGACACAGCAGGTCTGGAAAGGAACACCCTAGATTCTGAGCCTGGACGCCATGGACCTCCCAGCAGCAGTCCAGGCAGGGGGGCCTCCCCACCTGGTGGCCACAGAGCTGGGGATGGCTGGGGAGGACAGGGAGTAGAGCAGAGTGGTGAAGGCGGCTGGGCCGGGGGGAGTCCCAGGCGGGGTGGGGGTGGGGGTAGTCCGGGGGCACCAGAGCCACTGGCTGCTGTCTTTGCCTGAAGCAGCTACAGCCCCCACGGGCGGGAGCACGCGCCCGCCCCTCCCCCCTCAGCACTGCGCCCCCCCACCCCGCGCCGGGCCCGCCCGGCCCCCCAGCACTGCGCCCCCGCACCTGTCTCCATAGCAGCTCAAAGTTGCCGATGTCGCAGCTGCGGTCCGCCCTGCGGTCCAGCACCACCTTGATGGTGTCCTCCTGCACCTGCGCGCACAGCTGGGCCGTGACGGGCGTGGACGCGTGCATGGTGGGGCTGGAGTTGATCTCGATGAGCCAGGGCTGGAAGTCGCGGCCCAGGACGAAGTCGGCCCCATACAGCTCAAAGCTGTTCTTGCGCGGCTCCACGCGGTCCTGGGCCGCGCGCATGGTGTTGGTGACGGCCCGCTTCATGGCGGGGTAGATGACGCCCACCCACACAGCCCCGCGGCCCCGCTTCTGCAGGTACTCCCGGAACCTGGTGCTGGTCCACATGTTGTGGTAGGGCAGCAGGGGGCTGCGGTCCTTGTCGTTCTTGAGGTGCTTCTGGATGGAGTTGTTGCACAGGTGGATGGCACTGCGCGGGGCAAGTGCGGTCAGGCCTGCGCCTCCTGGGGCTCTGGCACCGCGCCCCCGCCCCCGCCCCGGAACTCCGCGCGCTGCGCCCGGGACTCAGTCTCCACCTGGGGGACCCGCGACCCCTATCCTGGACGGTGGCCCCGGACCGCGAGACCCAATCTCCAGAACCCTTATGCCCCCACCTATGCGCATGCCCGCCGGACATCTCCCCCGAGACCCCACCCCTGCGGACCCTTTGCCCCCACGGAACCCCCAAGTCACAGCTAACCCCGCCCCCAGAGACTCTGCTCTCGAGACCCCACCCCCCCACCGCAGGGTGGCTACAGGAGGGGCTCTGATAGCTCGGGTCCTCTGGAAGTAACGCCTCCCAGAGCCTCAGTTTCCCCATCTGCACCCGGCAATAGAGATGTGGCTCTTGAAGAGCTGGTCTGGTGAGACAAAGTGAGAAAGTCTTTGTGAAACGAATTAGTTACTTTGCACTCTTGCCTTGTTCCAAACCTGTTTTGAAACAACTACGAGATGAGCCACGCGGCTCTGGGGGGTAAGACGTGTCCCTGTGACCCTGGAGAGGTCGTGCTTCCAGGGGACAGAAGGGCCTTGTGACTGGAGTCAGCGGAATTAGGGTAGTGGGCCCCAGAGCCAGCACGGCACTCCCTCCGTTAACTCCGGCCGCTGCATAGACGGCCGGGCTGTGTCCGCTCAGAACGGTTCAGGGACTTTCCTGCCTGCCTGCGGGGAGGATTATGGTCCCAGATGGAGAAATGGGGCTCAGAGAGGGCAAGGGGTTTGGCAGGCACCCCCTCACGGCTTGGTGCATCCGGTGGCCTGGGGTGGAGGGCTGGAGGGGGCTCCTTATGCACAGTGAGGGGCGCGCCCCCTCCTCTAGGCCCCCTTGGCCTGGCAGAGACAAACTCACTCGAGGAGCTGCCAGCCAGAGCCACTTGTCCTCAGCAGCAAAGGGTCACTTGCCAGGTGCGACTCTTGGTGTGGTCACAGCCACTAGCCGGGGGGGACACAATTAACACGCCCAAGGTGTCCGCTGACCATCTCCCAGCCCTGTCAATTCTGGGCTGAGCTCAAGAGTTGGACGCTTCACCAACTGAGTCACCCAGGTGTCCCCACCTTTCTTGGAAGCAGGCCCCACGCCCAGTGCGTCCTCTCTGCAGGACCCCCTGCAGCGCTCCTGGTCAAGACGCCCTCAGACCCACACAGTGGGGGGGGTCACAGGCAGAAGTGGGGAGCCCCTGGTTTGGACAGGCAAGGGGGTTCTCTGCCTCCCTCCCGAGGCTTTGCCGAGTGACCTCACTGTCCCCACCACACCTATGTCCTGCCCACCTGGAGAGCCTGGCGAGGCATGGGTTCCCCCACCCCTGACACCCCTTCCTGGACATCTGAGCCTCTGCCCAGCACCTCCGTGGAACACCCTCCCCAGCACCCTGGCCCCAGGGGCCTTGGGATCTGGGTGCAGCCTTTTCTGCCTCAGGTGCTCCCCACTTCTTGTCCTGCCTGGCACCGCTGGGGTCCTCAGAGGACCCCTCAAGCCACTGTCATGTCCCATAGGCTGCCTGCTCAGGACCTGAACATTCCTTCCTCCCCAGCCACCTGCAGGAACCCCGACCCCAGGACTTCTGGGGCTCACAAAGAGTTTGAGGGCTGGCAAGGCAGATGTGACCCCAAAGGTGCCCCAGAGAGAGCAGGACTGTGCGGCCAGCCGAGGGCACCACCAAGCTTGGGTGGCTGCGGGTCAGTGTGTGAGCACAGCTGGCCACTTAGCCCTTCCAGCAGAGGGGGGGCACCCACCACGGAGGGGGCTCTGAACCTGCCGCTTAGATGGGTCATCCCTGGGCCCTGCCTGGCATCTCATGGGCACACGGCACACGGAGCTTTCAGGATTTTCTGGAGACGATACACACGTGTTGGGGTGCAGAGCAGGGCTTTGAAGAACACCAGGCCTGGGCCTGGCCCTCGGGGATGGAGGCCACGTAACCTCCCCGAGCCCGCTTCCTCATCTGTGTGTCCGGGGTGACGGGGGTCAGCAGGCGTGGCCCGGCACCCCGCCCCATCCTGCAGGTGTGGTGGGCACCCACCGTGTCCCCTCATGCCCAGTGGCGTCCAGCTGGCGCTCCCACCGACCTGTCCAGGCTCTCCAGGGAGAAGCGCTGTGTGGAAAAGCGAAGGTAGCTCTCCTTGTAGAACCAGATGGTCAGCGGGTTCCAGTCGGTGACCAGGAACCACTGCCTGATGTCGAACTTGGTGCCGTAGATGAGCAGCGGGGTCTCAATGTACTTCTGCACCACCCACTTGTTGTCCTTGGCAGAGAGGTGGTCGGCCGCCACCAGCTCCAGGATCTCCTCCACGCGGTTCATGCACACGATGTCTGCAAGAGGTCGGCGCTCAGCCCAGGACGCAGCGCGGCGTCCAGCGTCGGCCCCAGGACCCCGCGTGGCTTTGATCCGGGACCGGGAGGCCGCACAGCCGGGTGGCCCCACAGGGAAGGCTTGGCCCTCCTGGGGGAGGCCACAACCGGTGCCGACCCCCAGCCTCTCCCACCGGGGAGCCTGCTGCCAGGACTCAGGAGAGGACACAGAACGGAGAGGGCAGGGATGGCGACCGAGGCATGTTTCAAAGGCGGCCCGCAAGGGGTGGCTGAGCCCCAGCCCCGGCGTGGGGTGAACAGGGGCAGGGAAGCTCTGTGGGCCTCAGGGAGCCAGCAGACAGGGGGGCGGGCAGGCGTCCAGGGGCCCGGAGTCTGGTGCCCGGACAAACAACACGACTACACATCAGTGCACCCGTTCTGATCCTCCTCCGCCGCACGGTTCCTTGTCCCCAACTCCCTGGTGAGCAGTGACATCTGAGCAGAGGGGACAGGCCTCTCTCTCATCTGTTGGGTCACCACCAGACCCTCCAGCCCTCTCTTTCGCAGCCATGACAACCCTGAAGCCTGGAGGGAATGACATCACAAGATGGTGGGGGTCTTTGGGTAGCCACACGCGAGGAGGGAGCTTTCCCCACAAAAACGACAGTCTCATCTTTTCAGCTGTGAGCTGAGACCTGCTGACCGGAAACGAGAGACTCGGCAGAGCAGCAAACCTCAGCAGTCACCCGGGCTCAGAGCAGGAAGGCGCCCGGCCAGCGCCCAGCCACAGCCAGCGCCACAGCCACAGCCACAGCAGGCGCCACAGCCACAGCCACAGCCGGCGCCACAGCCACAGCCAGTGCCACAGCCACAGCCAGCATCACAGCCACAGCCACAGCCGGCGCCACAACCACTGCCGGTGCCACAGCCACAGCCACAGCTGGCGTCACAGCCACAGCCGGTGCCACAGCCACAGCCGGCGTCACAGCCACAGCCACTGCCGGTGCCACAGCCACAGCCACAGCCACAGCCATAGCCGGCACCACAGCCCAGCCAGGAAGCCCTGCGTTCGGGTGTGAGCACCGGCAGCTGAGGTGTCTGTGGAGCATTCCTGGGGACGCCGGTGTCTGCCGCGGGAGCAAGGTCGGGCCTGACGGACAGGAGGACGGAGCCGCCGGCAGACGGATGCCTTGTCAAGAGAAGCAGGCTCCGGATAGAGCCGATGGAGGGGCAGGGGCTGGACCCCAGAGGGCGGGCGCGCAGAGCACAGCGGGCGGAAGGCCGGGAAAGACAGTGTTTCAGGACGGATGCAGCAACATCAGAAAGTAATAAAGACTTTTTAAAATAACGTTAAAATGAACCACTTAGGAATTAAAACAACAAAAAACTCTTCAAATAATTCAAGGAGAAAATAAAATATCCAAAAAAATTGAAAATCTATTTAGATACTCAGGAAAGTGGGAACATCGCCTGACACATGCGAGCCAGCGCGGCCGGGAGGGCCATCTCCAGCGGGGACGGCCCAGACGGAAGACTTACTGTTGCACAAGAAAGACTGGAAATTAATAGGCATTAAAGTCAGAGCCCATGGGGAAAACACCCTTACAGGAAACTGGAAAAATGCAGCCTCAGGTTGGTTCTTTGGAAACCCAAAATAAGATTCTCTAACCTTGAAACCCCTGTCTTAGAAAGAACACACAGCATTCGCTGTTGGGAGTAAAGAGGACACACAGGACAAGGAGCGGCCCCTGAGCCCATCGAACAAAGACCACACACAGCAGGTACGTTCCTCGGGGCGGGGCCTCCAGGAGAGCCGGAGCCCACGGGTGAGTGAGGAGTGGGAATCCCGCTGTTGCCCGAGTCCGAGTCCCCCATCCGTCTCAGCAGCGAGGGCCAGTGGGCTGCCAAGGCCGGGCAAGACAATATGAAAAGAACAGAACGGCCCAGTTTAACTTGGGAACAACATCCCGGCTTGTTGGCCACCTAGGCCTTGCACGGAGCCCCAGGCCATGCACCTGCACCTGGGTGTGCCCGCCGCGCTCCGGGGCCGCTGGTGGGCGCTTCGCGCGCCGCGCCCGGCCTGACTCACCTCGGCCCCGGGACTTGGCCGCTGGCTTTATGATCCAGATGTTGCGAAGCCCATCGATCTCCATCTGCGGGTTCACGGACATGATTTTGTTCAGCAGAGCCTGGCACTGCGAGAAGTGGTTTCTCGAGCTGGAGATGAAGGCGTCACCACTGCAAAGCAAGATCCAGAGATCCCTGAGAGGTCGCGAGGCCGCGCGGGGCACACGCGGGGCAAGCGCGTCCCCCCGCTCTGGGGCCCGTCTCTCCGCTCTCTGCAGTGTTTGTCCACGAGCAGTAAAGCGGCATCAGCCGGCTCTGTTAGGCTCAGCGCTCTTCGTGAGGTAGTTAAGAAATCTTTGCCCTCCTTGTGGTCAGAAGACACACGCCAGTGTTCTCCTTTTCTGTGGCTTTCCCATATCATGTGATACATCTTGAATTAATCTTTGTGTATTTAGAAGACAGGATTCAAGACACACCTTTTTGGTTCACAAGGATGCTGACTGCACAAGCGTCGTTTAGGAGTAACGACAAGGAGTAACCCTTCCTAGGGGTTGGTCGTAAGTGACCACATGCGGGAGGCTCCATCTCTAGAAGCTGTCCCGGGGTGTTGTCTGGTAGTGCCCAGTGGCCCAGGGCTGCCCTCTCTGGATAGGTGCATTTATAGTAGGTCTTGAAATGGGGTAGGAGTTCTCTGATTTTGTTTTTCTTGATCAAGGTTTTCTAGCTTTTCTTAAATCATTTGTATTTCCAAATAAATTTCAGAATCTGTCAGTTCCTCCCACTCAAGCCCTGGAAGAAAATCCCTGCCAAGATTCCGACTGCGGTTTCACTGAATCTCTACGTTAGTCTGGAAGGAAAAAACCTCCGTATCACTGAGTTTTCTAATTTATGAACATGGTTTTATTACACACACATACTTCTTAGGTCATTAATTTCTATTTAATTTTATAATGTTCTGTTTAGGGTCTCCAACTTACATTATTCTGTTTTCTGGTTATTTGTTGCTATTTGATGTTATCATAGATGGCACGAGAACTCCATTCTGTGATTGCTGTTAGTAGACAGGAACACAGCGCAGTTTTGTATGATGACCTGCTGTCTACTGACTTCACTAAACTCACGTAACTTTCTGTAAGATTTGTAAAATTTTCTATATGCACGATCAGGTCATCAGTAAATAGTTTTGCTTCTTTCTGATTTTATGCCCTTTATTTCTTTTTTTCTGTGCTATTAAACTAAACAGGGCTTTCAGTCCACACTGAATAGCAGTCGTGAGAGTGGGCATTCTTGTCTCATTCTGATTTCAAGGACAACACTTTCAGTACATACTATTAAGAAATATGTTAGCTTTAGAATTTTTTAAAAGATTTTATTTGTTAATTTGATAGACAGAGCTTGCAAGTAGGCAGAGAGGCAGGCAGAGAGAGAGGGCAGCAGGCTCCCCCTGAGCAGAGAGCCCGATGTGGGGCTCGATCCCAGGACCCTGAGATCATGACCCGAGCCGAAGGCAGAGGCTTTAACCCACTGAGCCATCCAGGTGCCCCAGCTTTAGAATTTTTATATAGAAACTTTTCCAATTAAGGAAGTTCCTTTTTCTAGCTCACTTAAAAAAAAAAAAAAAGTTAACATACACAGTATTGAATTTCAATGATGTTTTACATCTATTGAGATGATCTTATAGTTTTTTTCTTTACCCTTTAAATGTGACAAAATCTACCAACTGACAATTTTTCAAATTTTTTTATTGTGGCAAAACACATATAACATAAAATTTACCATCTTACCCATTTCAAGTGTGGGTCAGTACTATCAGGAACACTTATATTGTGCAACTATCACCCCCTCTGTCCCCAGGACTTTTTCATCATCCCAAGCTGAACCTCTGTCCCCATTAAACACTCACTCCCCACCCCTCCCCCAGACCCTGGTACCACCATCAACCTTCCGTCTCTGTGATCTCCGCTCTAAATACCTCATGTACGTGAAATCAAACAGTTTTGTACTTTTCACTTATACATACTGTCCTCAAGCTTCATCCATGTTAGAGCAGGTGCCAGAACTTGCTTTGTAAGGACGGCTGAGGCCCCGCTGATTAACTTTTGAATGTTAAACCAACTTTGAGTTCCTGGAGCTTACATCGGACACGAAGAAAGAAAACTGTTTGCATTCGTAGACGACATGTCCTATGTGTAGAAAATCCCAAGGAACACACACACACACACAGTACAAAGTAGTGGAACTAATAAATGGGTTCAGCAAAGTCACAGGTACAAGATCAATATAAAAATATCAGTTTAGGGTCGCCTGGGCGGCACAGTCGGGTGAACATCTGACTCTCGGTTTCAGAGCCATGATACCGAGCCCGCTCTGGGCCCTGCGTTCCGTGTAGCGTCTGCTTGGCTTCCTCACTCCCTCTGCCCCTCCCAGCTGCTCACTAGCGCTCTCTCCAAAATAAAGAAAATCTTTTAAAAATCAATTATATTTTTATATTCTGCCAACAAAAAAATCCTTAAACAAAATTAAGAAAATAATTTAATTCATAATATTATCAAAAAGAACAAAACACATAAGAATACATTTAACAGGGGTGCCTGGGGGGCTCAGTGGATTGAGCCTCTGCCTTCAGCTCGGGTCATGATCCCAGGGTCTTGGGATCGAGTCCCGCATCGGGCTCTCTGCTTGGCATGAAGTCTGCTTCTCCCTCTCTCTGCCTGCCTCTCTGCCTACTTGTGATCTCTCTCTCTGTGTGTCAAATAAATAAATGAAATCTTTAAAAAAATGCATTTAACAAAAGAAATGCAAGAACACTGAACGCTACAAAACATTGTTGACATACATGTTAAAAGATCTAATCAAGTGGAGAAATAAATCTGTAGACATTAACACATTTAAAAAAAATTTTTTTAGTAGGCTTTCCAGTAAGAGCCCCAAGCTGGGCTTGAACTCTTGACCCTGAGGATCAAAACCTGAGCTGAGATCAAGACTCCAATGCTCAACAGTCTGAGCCACCCAGGCGCCCTCACGAAATCAACACATTGTTAAATAACCAATGGATCAAAGTAGAAATCGCAAGGGAAATACTTAGAGACAAATGAAAGTGAAGACACGACACACTAAAACATATGGGATTGCTAGTTGTGCTAAAGGAGAAACTTATAGCTATAAAGGCTTATGTTAGAAAACAAGAAAAATCTCAAATCAACCTAACTTTGCCACTAAAGAAACTAGAAAAAGAATAAACTAGACCCGGGGCACCTGGGGGGCTCAGTCATTAAGCATCTGCCTTCGGCTCAGGTCATGTTCCCAGGGTCCTGGGATGAAGTCCCACGTGAGGCTCCCTGCCTGTCAGGAAGCCTGCTTCTCCCTCTCCCACTCCCCCTGCTTGTGTTCCCTCTCTTGCTGTTTCTCTCTGTCAAATAAATAAATAAAACCTTAAAAAAAAAAGAATAAACTAGACCCAAAGTTAGTAGAATGAAGTAATCAATAAAGATTAAAGCAGAATTAATCAAAATAGAGAAAATTAAACTAAAAGTCGGTTCTTTGAAAAGATCAACAAAATTGACAAACCTTTAGCTCAATGGACTTAGAAGAGAGAGAATACTCAAGTTACCAAAATAAAAAATGATATTGGGGGCATCATTACTGATTCTACAAAATAAAAAAAGATTATAAGAGAGTACTATGAACAGATGTACACCAATGAATTGGATAACCTAGATGAAATGGACAAATTTCTAAGAAACACTAAACCTACCAAGACTAAATTGTGAAGAAACAGAAAAGGGATTGAATCAGGAATCAAAAATCTCCCAAAAAGAAAAGCCCAGGACCTGACAGCTTCATGGGGGAATTCTATCAAACAATTTGAGAAGAACCATACCTGTCCTTCTCAAACTAGGGAAGAGGAGGAAACACTTCCTAACTCATTCTATGAGGCCTGTATCACCCTGATATCAAAGCCAGACAAAGACACTGCAAGAAAAGAAAACTACACACCAACGTCCCTTGTGAACATTGATGCAAACATCCTCAACAAATGCTAGCAAACCAGACTCAGCAGCACATCAAGGGACGGCCCTCCCTAACCAGTGGGATTTATTCCAGGAGTTCAAGGATGGTTCGACATCTGAAAACCAATTACTGTAATATATCACATTCCAGATGAAGGGAAAAAACCCCACATGACCATCTCAATTGATGCAGAAAAGGCACTTGACAAAATTTGACACCCTTTCCTGATAAAAACACCTAAGAAACTAGGAATGAAAGGAAACTACCTGAACATAATAAAAGCCACATATGAAAACCTACAGCAATTACCATACTCAATGGCGAAAGACAGGAAATTTTCTTTTAAGATTAAGAATCAGACAAGGCGCACCAGGCTGGCTCAGTCAGTAAAGCATCAGATTCTTGATCTCAGCGCAGGTCTTGATCTCCAGTCCTGTGCTGGGCTACACATAGGATGTGGAGGCGACTTAAGAAAAACAAAGAATAAGGCAAGAACGGCTACTCTCAACATCCAACAGTGTAAGAGAAGTGCTAGCGGGAGCAATCAGACAAGGAAAAGAAATAAATGGCAGACTGGAAAGGAGAAGTGAAATCTGTTTGCAGATTGTATGAATGTATCTGCAGAAAACCCTAAAGATTCCACCAAAAAATCATGTTACCTCTAGTAATCGGAGTACGAAGTAGTAGAAGATACAAAGTCAACGAACAAAAATAAACTGCATTTCTCTACACTAGCAAGGAGCAATCTGAGAAGGAAATTATGAAAGCAATTCCACTCACAATCACACCAGAAATAGTAAAATACTTAGGAATTAACCAAGGAGGGGAAAGGTACAACAAAAACTACAAAAATTGCTGAAAGAAATTACAGGAGACACAAATAAATGGGACACATCCATGTTTATGGATTAAAAGATTTAATATTGCTTAAGATGGTAATAGTATGCAAAATTACCTACAAATTCAATACAATCCCTATTCAAAATCCCAATGATGTTTTTCACAGACATAGAAACACCCACACCCAAATCTAAACAGACTCTCAGGGAGCCCCAAAGAGCCAAAACAATCTTGAAAAAGATCAAAGTGGGAGGACACACGCTTCTTGATTTCAAGACTTACTACAAAGCTACAACAATCAAAACAAAGTGTTACCAGCATGAAGACAGAAGCAAGACCAATGAAACAGAATAGAGATCCCAGAAACAAAGCCTCCCACAGTCAAACGACTTTTGACAAGGCTGCCAGTACTACTCAACGGGAAAGGGACAGTCCCTTGATACTGGGTATGGTACTGGGAAAACTAGATATCCACAATCAAAAGGATGAATTTGGACCCGTACCTAAAGCCAGGTGCAAACAGTAACTCAAAATGGATCAAAGACCCAAATAGAAAGGCCAAACCCTACGAAAATCTTGAAGAAAACATAGGGCAAAATCTTCAAGATGCCGAATTTCTCGATGATATCTTGGATATGACACCAAAGCACAGACAACAAGAGGAAAAACCACACAGACTGACTTCATGAGAAGGTTTAATGTGCGTGTCTACGATGCAGCCAGCAGAGTAAAAAGGAGATGCCACAGTGAGAGGGACTGGAAGCTGTGGATCTGACAGGCGGCTGACGTCCAGAACACACAGGAGCCCCTAAAACCCAGCAAGGCAACTCAATTCAAAAATGGGCCAAAGGGGCGCCTGGGTGGCTCAGTGGGTTACGCCTCTGCCTTCGGCTCGGGTCATGATCCCGGGGTCCTGAGATCGAGCCCCGAATCGGGCTCTCTCTCTGCTCAGTGGGGAGCCTGCTTCCTCCTCTCTCTCTGCCTGCCTCTCTGCCTACTTGTGACCTCTGTCTGTCAAATAAATAAATAAAATCTTTTAAAAAAATAAAAGATAAGAAAACAAAAATGGGCCAAAGACTTGAACAGACACTTCTCCGAAGGAGAAACCAGATAGCCGATAAGCACGTGGAAAGATGATGAACACCACTGAGCATCAGGAAAATGGAAACCTGTAGTGAGATACGGTCTCACGTCCATTAAAACATTATTTTCGAAAAGCACAGGAAATAACCAATGTTGGTGAAGATGCAGAGAAATGGGAACCCTGGCATCCAGTTGGGGGGCACATAAAGTGCTGCAGCTGTTGTGGAAAACAGTATGGTAGTTCCGTGAAATATCGAGAATAGCAGTGCCATATTACCCAGAAATCCCATTTCTGGGTACAGACCCAGAAGAATTGAAAGCAGAATCTCAAAGAGGTATCAGTACCGCTGTGCTCACGGCAGCGTTAGTCACAAGAGCTAAAACGTGAGAGCAACCCAGATGTCCGTCGACAAATGAACAAGTAAGCAATATGTACTATATACGTACAACAAAACAGTATTTATCCTTTAAAAGGAAGGGAACTCGGATACCTGCTTCAACATGGACAAAACTTGAGGACATTATAAGTGAAATAAGCCAGTCACGAAAAGACAAATTATGATTCCACTTCTATGAAGCACCTGGGGGAGTCCAACTCACGGATTCAGAGAGTGGACGCTGGCGGCCAAGAGCCGGAGGGAATATGGGGAGTCGGTGTTTAGTGGGGACAGACTTCCACTTCGCAGGATGAAAAGAGCCATGAAAATGGACGGTGGTGCCGGTTGCACATGACCGAGATACTTAAATGAATTATTTTAAAATGGTTCAGAGAGCAAATTTTGCTGCGTTTTTTTATGACAATAAAAAACGAAAACAGGGGTGTCTGGATGGCTCCGTTGGCAAGCGTCTGATCTCGGTTTCGGCTCAGGCTGTGATCTCCGAGTCGTGGGACGGCGCCCCGCGTTGGGCTCTGGGCTCAGCTCCACGTCTGCTTGCGACGCTTTCTCTCTCGCCCTCTGCCCCTCCCCCCACTTGCACGCTCTCCAGAGAAACACATAAATGAAATCTTCTAGAAAATGGAAGAGAGAGAGAGAGGTGACGCACACGACCAGAGCTGACAAACGAGAGGAGACGTGCTGTCGTGTGTGACGCTGTCTGGGAGCGAGGGAGGGTCTGGCTGAAGACCAGCAGCCGTGAGCCCCGACCGTGTCCCGGAGCCGCCGCGGGAAGCCGGGAACAGAAGCTAAGCGCAGGTGCAGGATAAAGCGCGGAGACTAGTCACGGTGAGGACGCGTCCGTACTTCGCTCGCCAGTAGGGGCCGTGGCTGGCCAGTACGCCTGCCTGACAAGTGGGAAAAGAGACAAACCGCGAAACGCACGTTTCTCCAAACGAAGCGGACCAGGTCAGCTACATCGCGGCCCAGAAAACCCCGCTTGGGTGAGCCGAGTCTCTTGGCCATTTTATCCTCCAAGAGTGTTTGCCAAGTCAGGGTGGCAGCGGCGACGCAGGTCCGGCCCAAGCGGAAGGGCTTTCTGGAGGACCGAGAAGCCGCACGACCCCGCCAGCCGGCGTGAAAGACCCGAGTCTCGTGATGCTCAAAACACAAACCACACGGCCTGCTCCCCCCGGGCACGAGGATGCTTTGTCTGGGCTGCAAAGATGGTGAGCCTTCCCACGCCTGTGGCACTTGGGAAGAAGCTTCTCCGGGGCACAGGGTCGGCAGCGAAACCCTCCAGTCCCCCGCCCGAGACACTCGGCACCAGAGCGCGGTGAAGCTGCCTGAGCTGCCGCTGGCCCTGCTCCCTGCTTGCCGGCTGGGGCCATCGGCTCGACGCCACGCCTACAACGGAGGAAACAGTGAGTGCCCCGTCTTGGGGGGCGGCATGACTTCTGTCCATGCTTCCTTCTTAGACAAGGGGCGGCGCACGAAAATTACAGAGACTGAGAAGAGGCTGAAAATCCCGACCTAGTAAAGGGCAAAGACAAACGCCACAAGAAGGGCCTCCCAGTGCTGGAGTCAGAACCGGGCAGCTTCGCAGCTGGCCCGGGGACAGCAGGAGACAAGGCCGGTCAGTCTTAAGATGGGTTGATAGAAAATACACAAACTCAACCTCAGAAAGGAAAAAAGGACGAGGGAACCAGGCACAGCAAAGTGATGGGCGAGACGCGGTCACGTGGCCGGCTGTGCGCTGAGCTGGCGTCCCAGAACGGGAGAAGAGGACGAGGCAGAAGCAATATTTGAAGATAATGGCTGAGAACTTTTCAAAATTGATGAATGATTCCAACCCCCCAGATTAGAAGTTCCCAAAATCTCTAGGTAGAGGACATAACAAAGAAAACCACATCTAGGCACAATGAAGTCAGACTTCGGAAAAAGGGGGCAAGGGGGTGCTGGGTCTCCAGCCTGCAAAGGGCCCGGCCCTCAGGAGAAGGGGGAAGGCCGGGCTCAGCCTTCAGGTTCCCAGGCAGCAAGAGGCACTGACGGTCCTGGAGAGTCCGGAGGGCCGGGCCGGACCTTCTGTGGGTCCTGACTGCCCAGGGCCCACCTGCGGGGCTCAAAGGAGGTAAAAGGCATGAACAGGGTGGAAAGTGCTCAAGGCGCTGCTACCCAAAGGTGCCCCCAAGGGGGTCTTCCTTTTATGAGCCAACAGGGACCTGCTGGGACAGGTGGCAGTGGGTCTGGGTACCCCAACACCCAGACGGGTGCTTCAGATGTCCCAGAGGTGGGACTTCCCCGCACAGCTCCTGATGCCGCCCCCAGGTCCCCGGTTCAAGTGAGCCGGCCCGGCGCATGCCGACTCGTGCCACCGAGCACCAGGCACCGGGCGCGGCTGGAGGGCTCCGCACAGGCGTGTCTTACTGAATGAGGGAGTAGTACTGCTCTGTCAGGTCCTTCCACTCGTCCTCCGTGAGGCCCTTGCTGGCGTCCTCGGGGACATCGATGTCCCGGTGCTCTAGCTGCCCCAGGTAGGCCTGGCACACCTTGCACGCAGTGTCCACGAGCTGTCCCGAGAGGCCTGTGAGCCTGGAGTCCACACTCTGGGAAGCTGAAACCCAAGCACAGGGTCTGGAGTGGGAACTCCTGCATCCTCTGGGCACCCAGCCCTGGCTAGGCGCGCCTCCCCCGCTGCACACGCCCTCCAACCAGACTCGGACCGCGGCTGGCCATGCAGCATGACCTCCGAACTTGCGACAAAACTTCTACTTTTCTGAGCGCACACTGCGTATTCAGTAAGAACTTGGGGGCCGTCCTGCCTGACTCCCACAAGCTGGGGCGCACCTGGTGGCCGCCTGCACCAAACTCTTACATCTCGTGCTCCCGGGACCCCGGAGCTGAGCTGGACCCAAGGGTCTCAGGAGTCCTCCCGTCCGGTGACAGCGAGCCTCCAGGAGCCCAGCTCCCACCCAAGGCAGTGGCCCCCTGGTCCCCAAAGGAGAACGAGTTGACGACCAGCAACTGTCTGGGTGGTTCCTGGCTGGGAGCCCGGAGGAGCGAGGGGGCTTGGCAGGTGCACAGAACCAACTCCACACACAGGCGTGGGGCTGGGGGCAGGGGGCAGGTGCCGCGGACTCTGGACCCCCGCAGTTAGGGACCCCGGAGAAAGTGCGGCAGGTTGCGTGGTTGCCACAGAGATCACAGAGTGTGTCTTTAGACTGTGTTCAGGAGAAATCCCCGGAATATAAAAACGGGCATTTGAACGTGAAAATCTGCACTTCCTCTTTCTGGTCGGGCACAGAGGAGCGGGACGGTGCCAATCCGTCCTCACAAGTACAAAGTAAAACCAAAGCGTCAGCGACTCTTCTTGGCTCCACCGGAGAGCCGAGGTCACGTGGCCAACCATCGCCCGGTCGCAGGAGGGCAGCAGGTCCGGACCATCGCCGCTCTGGGCAACAGAACCCCGAAGCCAAAAAGCTCCCCGGATGCCAGCGCCAGGCGAGGAAGCCTGAGCGGCCACCGAGGACCTGCTGAAGGCTCGGGGTGTGCACGAGTCTGCGTCACAAACCCCGGGGGCTCAGCTGGGGCGGGGGCGTGCGTTGTCAGTCTTCCTTCCAGGACCTTGACCTAGTTCTCACCGTGAATGTGGGAGCAGGGCCCCCCCTTCTGGCAAGAAGGGAAGGTAAGCATCCTGGACGCTGGGGGCCACTCTGCTCTCAGCAAGGCCGCGCCGGAGCCTGGCCTGCCCCAGCCCTCCCGCCAGCCTGTCCCACCGAAGGGCAGGAGGACAGGGAAGCGCTGGTGGGCTTCGCAGTCCGGGGGCACAGGCTCACCACAGACGGAGCCCTGATCGCAGGACTACAGGACACCGTGGCGGGGGCAGGAGGAACGGGGGGACACGAGTGGGCTGAAAAGACACGCCGTGTGATGACGCCATTACACATTTGCCCAAAGCCCCACGACGCCCCACACGAGAGGGACTCTCAGCGCCAGCTGACGTGGGCTCGCGGGTCGGAACAAACGTGCCCTCGGTGCGGGCTGCGCGGGGAGGAGGCCGCGGGGCAGGGCGGCTGCAGGACACGCCTGTGCCTCCTGCTCGACCTCAGTGGGAACCGCGGACGCTCTCAGAAAGGGAACAGCATGATACTTATTTGGATTTCATGGGCCTGATGGCACGGCGGCCCTGCACCACGCGGGAAAGCCCGTCCCCGTCACCCTCTTCTGCGGAGCGGGGACGAGTCTGCCCCCGACCCGCAGCCCCACGGGCCCTCCCGGCACAGTCCTCCCGGCACGGTGCAGCCGTGCCCCCCACACACCTTTCCGGTTGCTGGGGCCGGGGTCACAGGCCTCCCCCCTGCCGCCGGGCTTGCCTCCGCTGTGGCTCTGGTGGCTGACCACCCACTTGAGGATGCTGGAGGCCACCGTGCGCCGGAAGTCGTCTGAAAGGACACCAAGGCCTCGCCCCCTCTGCCGGCGCCGGGGACCAGGGGCCTCGGCCAGCACGAGCCATCCTCAGCCTCGCTGCCCCACAGCCCGCGGTGGCCTCCCTCCCGCCCCCACCGCCCTGGAGGGGCGGCTTGCTCTGCCCTCAGCCCACACCTCCAGCACAGTCCTTCTCCCTCTGCCCCTGCACAGATGGGAGTCTAGTCCACCGCCAGCTGCCAGCCGCACGCCCCTCCCTGCCTCTCCCCTACTCCCCTCCCCCACTCAGGGACACGCACTTGTCCTTGTCCCCGCTCCTTGCGTCTTCAGCCCCACACCAGAGGACAGACGCCTCCCGCAGACACACTAGGACCCTCCCCATCCCAGGAGCCTCCCCGGGCCTTCCTGGACAGGCTGGCCTCCAGGGCTGCCGGTGTGGACGGCCAGAGGGGCCCTGCCACACACACCCGGCACAGAAGGCCGCTCTGGGTCCCACAGATAGGCTTGGGGCCAGCCCGGCTCTGAGGCCTGTCTTACCAATTCCACTGCAACCCATGCCCTCTGGGAGGCCCACAAGAAATCCCAGTACCCTCTTGCCAAAACCAAACCCAAGCCTGCTCCCTGCTCATCTCAGTGGGGACCCCACCGGCCCGGCCCACAGCTGCTGCCACCGTGGAAAGATCCAGAACGCCCACTGCCTTCCCTAGCTCCTCCAGGGCCCGGGGCTTCTCACTCAGTCTCCTTCCACCAGAACAGACCCCGCCCCGAGCCGACTCCTGGTCCCTGTGCCCTGTGGACACTCAGGCGCGAGGCCTGCTCCAGCCTGTCCCTCAGACCTCCCTCCCTCTGGGTGTTCACCCTGCGCCCCCTCTCTGAGAGGCCCCTGCTCACTGCCTTCCCCTCCCCTGCACTTCTCACCTCCAGCCCCCACGGACCCTGCCTGTCCTGCCCGTATCTGTCTGCCCCTGGGAGCCCCAGGTGGGGTCAGGACCTAAGGCATGGGTGCTGGTAGAGGCTGCATCTCCCCCAGACCAGGTGCTCAGGAAACGCAGTCGCCCCCACATGAACACTGCCCACCTGCTCTGACCTTCACCTTCTGTCTCTCCTGGCAGGTCAAACCAGGAACCCTCCCTCTGTCCTCAGGCCAGAGCCCGTTGCCCAGAGCTGCTCAGACCTGGGCCCCAGGACCACCCCCGTGCCGGCCTCCCCAGGAAGCCAGTCAGAACCAAGTTGCTGGCTCGGGGCTCCATCAGCCTCCATCAGCCTCCCACACATCCTGCTTCACAGACGCTGCCCGTGGAAGTTTCTGGACCAGTCCTCACCCTTGAAATGGAGCTGAGCCCCTGGGCCTTGGGACGGGACCAGGCCCTCTGCCATTGGCCCCCACCAGCCCCCGGCCCTGCAGCTGTGGCCCAGCCCCCTCCCTTCCTGCAGCCCCTCAGCGGGAGGTGGACCCCATGATGCCCGGTGGTCTCCGCCTCCGGCCACCCACTTACCCAGGAATTCCTGCTTCTCGCTCTCAGAGCAGAGGCTGTAGCAGCGGGGGAAGAAGGAGTCAGGGTCGGCTTGGACGTACCACGGCAGGCTCCTCATGTTCACACACAGCCCGATCTCCAGAGACAGCGGCGCGTCAGACCCCCACAGGCCACCTGCGAGTCCCCTCAGACCAGCCTGAATGCCCACAGGTCTGGCTGGCGGCACCCATGCCAAAGGGCTCTCGAGAGGGGCGCCTCCTGGAGCAGACCCCTCCCCGGCCTCCTTGCCCCTCCGGCCCCCAGCCAGCTGGCCTCAACTGCAGGGTGACCCCACGTGCAGGCCGGGGCCATCTGAGGGCACAGGGGTGGTGGGTCCCTAATGGGCACTGGGCCTGAGCACCAGGGAGGAGGGAGCAAGCTCCTGGGCACACTCACCATGGGCCCCGTTTGGGGAAAACTGCCATGTGCCCGGGAGCTGCAGGCATGGAGCTGCTGGGCACACCGGTAGGCAAGCCACATGGGGTCTTTGCAGGGAGCGCGGCCTGGCTGCCCCCTGGAGGAGGCAGCTGCTGAGGCTGGGTGGGGATGCATGGGGCCCGGGAGCCGTGCGAGCCTCATCCCTGACCCTCTGTGTCATCCTTGCCCATTGAGGGGATGGTCTCCTTGTTGCCCAGAAGCCTCTCTACCCCACCTCTCCCACGTGGCTACCGGTAGGCCTGTCCACCCGGGCTGACCCCGCCCCTGGACCTCAGCCCTCGGAGTCACAGGATGGGGCTGTGCCAAAAGGCAGTGAGGACGGGAGGTGCCCATGCCCCCTGCAGCCAGAAGGCCCTGCGCAGGGGAGGTGGCCTGGCTCTCCCTGGGACCCAGGGCCTCCGCAGGACACAGAGTTTATGCCGGGCGCTGGAGGCAGCCACCCCCTACCCCGCCCCACCTGAGGTTTAGCCTGCGCACCCAGAGGAGGGACACAGGGCCAAGGGTTCCTGGGACTCCGGGGGTGTGAGTGGAGCCGGAGCTGGCGGCCTCTAGACACTGGCAACAGGAGCGTGGCCTCTGCCTGGGCAGAGGTCTTCCTGGGGAGGAGCCCGGAGGTGGCCAGTCCACACACGCCCCCCCCCCAAACTCAGCCACGGAGCTGCAGGAGACTAGGTGCCGCCCTGCACCTTCCCTGCCCGCCGCCCCCTCGCCCCACTCTCACCTTGGTGGTGAAAGAGGCCGTCTTCCCGTAGTGGTTCAGCATCTGGTCGCAGCTCAGGCTGTGATAGTCGACAACGTCCCTCTTGATAGTCCAGAGGAAGTATGGCATTTCGTTTTTTACCAACCTGGACTGGCAAGAAAAAGACCCTTACCAATACCCTCTATCCAAGCTTCGTATCTTTGGGTGTTGGGATGTAGCAAGAGTGAGGGAAATCAGCATTTTTCCAAGTTTTTCTTTGAATTCTAGCTAGTTAGCGTACACAGTAAAATCGGTTTCCGATGGCAGATTCAGGATCGTCACTTCCGTGTGACACCAGGCACTCATCACGAGGGCCCTCCTTGAGGCCCGTCCCCCAACAACCTCAGTGTGTTCTCTTTCCTTAAGAGTGTCTTGCGGTTTGCCCACCTCTCTCTTTCTTCCCTTCCCCAATGATCCCCTGTTCTGTTCCTGAAATTTCACACACGAGCGAGGTCGCATGGTGACTGTCTTTCTCAGACTGGCTCGCTCCACTCAGCGTCATTCCTTCTAGCCCCGTCCACGTCACTGACTGTCACTTCATTTCCGATGGCCGCGTACGATCCCACCATCGATGTGAGCCACGTCCCCTCACCCGTCCGTCCGTCCGCGCACATCTGGGCTCTCCCCCAGGTGCTACTGCAGGTGGCATGCCGCAAGCCTGGGTGCAGGTGCCCCTTCGCATCACTGCGTTGGTGCCTTTGGGCAGATACCCACGAGTGCAGCTGCTGGGTCAGAGGGAAGCTCTACGTTTAGCTTTTTGAGGCGCCTCCATACTGTGTAAATCAGGTATTAAATGACACTGACGTGTGCATTCTGTGTCTCTCTGGTCTGGAAGGTTGGCCGCCGCGTTCCTTGGGGGGCCACGGGGTGCCGCACTGGGGGTCACCGCCCGCACACGGGGGCTCTGCGCTCGGGAAGCAAGGCCAGGCTCTGCACCGAGAGGGCCCCTGTGCGTGCAGCTGAGTGAGGTCTGAGCTGCCCGCCCCGTGGGTGCCCCTGTGGGGCTCAGGAACATGCCACATGTGGGCGTGGTGTGAGTGCACTGCCTCCTGTCCGGGAGACTGTGGGAGACAGCCTCCACCCTTGCCCCCACTTCGGAGCAGGTGGCCAGGGCCAACGGGGCATGGGGACCTCGCCGTACAGCCACAACTAGACCCAGGGCAGCCCGGGCAGCTCTGATTTTATGTGCACAAACCAAGCACCTGTGTGGTCAAAATTTCTTCCCAAACAGATACAAGGAAAGGAACACCTTTCCAAAATTCTGACACCCTGAAGACCCTGCAGGGCCATTCTCTGCAGTCCAGCATCTGAGGACACACCTACTCTTCTACAACACGGGATGGTCTACCGTGACCCCGGGTTAGGGCAGGACTGGGCTCCCCCTGCCCCAGTGCCAACAGGAGCGCCCGGAGGGAGGGGGAGCTGACCGCCAGCATCACTTCCCAAACTTTATCCCAGAGCTGGACTCGCAGCCCACCTCCTACTTGCTGCGACGTCGGGCTTCTGCTGTCACTTTCCGGCGTGAGTCTCATTTGTTCACGGCGGCATCAGCCGTCAGACAGCAGTATGAAGGGCAGCACGCAAGTGCACGTCGCGCATGGGTGCACGTAGACACACACGAGCACACACGCACACACAGACGCACATGTGCACACGCACACGCGCGTGCACATGGAGATGCACACACGTACACGGGTGCACTCGGACACCACAAGCTCAGCAGCCCGGTGTGACTGGCTTTGCCACCTGTCCCCAGGACAAGGCCCAGGGACGGTGACAGTGTGAGGGGCGTGGGGAGATGGGGGCCCATCTGGGCCGCGGGAGCACGGGGTGGAGACCTACCATCACATCATGGATGTCGTCTGTCTTCTCCAGAGCCGCTTCTTGATTTTCTTTGCCTTCAGTGTGTTTATGTTCTGCAAACACGACCCCCGGAGAGCCGTCAGCAGGTCAGGGCCTGAGCCCCTCGGCACGGCCCCCATGCCACTTAGCCAGCAGCTGCCGCGGCCACAGCGCACTTGCCAACTCCGCGGCAGTGCATCCCCAGGGCACGTTCGCGGGTCCCGACACAGGGCAGGGCGGCATCAGGCTCAGGCTATGTTGATCCGCCCCAGGGTCCGCCACTCGGGCCCTCTGCTGGGTGTAGTGTCAGGGTCGGGCCACACCTGGGGGCCAGACAGCCTCGGGGTGAGTGGGGTGGGGCGGGGTGCAGGGAATGGGATGGTGACAAGGTTCACGTGGGTCTGAGCCGCCATGTGGGAGCCGGCCCTGTGTAGACGCCAGGGCCAAGAACGCACAGATGCTGTCTGCAGTGGGAGGCGGGACCTGTGGGGTCCCGGGGCCAGAGGAGGGACACAGAGGGTGAGGCCCCTGAAGGACGGTGACAACGGCCTAGACACGGGAGAAGGTGGCCTGTTGTGGGCGTGGATGGAGGGACCAGGTCTGGAAAGCACAGGCCTGGTGTGGGGCTGGTTAGGGAAGGCAGGCCAGGAAGGGAGACCCCCGCACACGCAGGAGAGGCCTGGGTCACGGGCCCTGAGGGCCAGAACGGCACTCCCCGGAGAGGTGCGACGGACACACGTGCGAGCCTTACACTGAGGGACGAGACACCTTCGATACTCTACCAGTCACCCCTGCGTTGCCATCGTCCGCATTCGGGATGACCTTGGGCAAGAAGTGGAACTTCTTCTCCACCCAGCCCTTTCTTCGAAGGGTGGCCCGTATCACCGGGTAGTGCCCGTAGATGGAGAAAATCTTCTTTTCCTCAAATTGCAAGAGCAGATTTTAAATTAAAGAATGAAAGGCAAGGCGGTTAATTGTCTGTGAGGGGAGGACCCTCAAGTCCCGCTCCAAGAGGAACACACGGAAACACCCGAGAGTGCGCACACATGCACACACACGCGCGCGGGCACAGAGCAGGGCCCCACCGTGTGCACACTCATTCCTTGTGCGCCTTGCACTCTAACGCTTTCTTTTCTCTACGAAGGTGACAGTCTCAGTCTCTCATGCTTGGGGGTGAGGGGATGGGTGCCTGAGGTTCGAGGAGTAAGAGGGAAGAGCCATTCAACCAGCCAAGAAGGGCCGGAGGGACAGGAGGCCAACAGTATGAGGCCAGCACAGGGGCTGGGGACTCTGCCTGTGAGTGTGGAAACGAACACAGCTGCCTGGGCACCAGGAAGAGAGATGGCAGCAGGTGGTGTGCACCCAGGTCGTCCCAGCTGAGGGATGGGAGACGGGAGAGTGACGGTCATGCTAGAGCCCCTGGGCCCATGTTGCTGAGGTCCAGCCTGCACACCTTCACCTGGACAGGGTCCCAGAGTGCAACAGCCATAGGGCAGGGTCAGCAGTTAGCTTAGTGCCTCACGAGTTTGTGGGAGCAGGTAGGGAGGGCTGGGCAGGAGGGGAATGGCTCAAACTCATTGTGTCCTTAATTAGATGACTTTGAACGAATCAAAAGACAGACTCTTGTGGGTGGGCCTGGCCTAATCAGGTGCACCTCTTGAAAAGAGGGTCCAGGGCAACCCTGAACTTGGAGATTCAAAGCAGCAGAGACTTTCTCCCCACGGTCAGCTCTGAAGAAACCAGCATTTCAGCCACAAGGGAATGAGCCTTGCCAACCAGCCCAGGGAGCCTGAAGGAAGATCCCTTCCCAGCTGAGCCTCTGGATGAGACCCCAGACCAGCTAATGCCTCATTTCAACCCCGAGGAACCCTGAGCAGAGGACCCCGCAGAAGCTGTGAGATAACAAATGGGTATGTTTAAGCTCATGGCGATTTGTGACCCACATCGGCAGTCGACATACCCTATAGTTCCCACAAGGAGGACCTGCACGCCTCTCCCAGGAACACGTGCAAGGAAGCTTGTGCCCGGGGCTGGAGGCTGTGAGTCCAGGTCACAGGAAACACCCAGGAAACACAGAGGAAACACCCAGCAGGTCAAAGGACCTCTCTCAGCCTCCTTCTGTGCAGGAAACCTGTCCAAAGCCTGCCCTTGTCCCCCACAGGGCTGTGCACTAGGATGGAGGGATGGGATGACCTTGGTCATGGAGGGACTGAGGTGATGCAGAGGCAGGCAGGGAACGTGACCTGCGGCAAGAGCGTCAGCACCCTGTGCCCCAGCCAGAACCCCAGCCATGCTTACAGTCAAACTGAACGACCTTGGAAAAGCAGACTGTTTTAATGAACAGAATAAAATTCCTCAGGGAACCACAAAAGGAAGGAAAACAGAGCATAAGACCTGTAAGATATAAGAGGGGAAATGGAATCTAAACTGTGATCAGTCCACAAAGAGGCACAAAATGAGGGGGAAGCCGACCAGATAAGACAGACGGGACAAGGGAAGGAGCCAGGGACACAGGGTGACGCCCGAGGACCCCAGGGGTGCACTTGTGGATAAACACACCGAAGGCCCCAGGAAGAAGGTGAGGCATGCCGGCTGGATTTCTAGAACCCCAGTCCACGCTGTTTACAAGAGTAAGTCAAAGGCAGTCACATACAAGTCAGTAGAACATAAGAGGATCTAAGCATGAGACAAAGCACCCTTTGGGACAAAAGAAACCCCTAAAGCAAAGAAAATTGCACCATAATTTACAAAAAGATTGAATTCCCCAAGAAGATACTTTTGTCTGCTCCTGGTAAGAGAGCAATAAATTATATAAAGTGAAAACTGACAACCACAATGTGAAGGGATCCACACTGACCAGGGGTATCTAACGTGCTTCTCTCGGTGAGAGACAGACCCGCAGACCAGAGGGTCCAGTCGGCCTCAAAGACTTGAACCGTGCAGATAGCCAGCTCTGCCCAGTCGGCTCTCCTGGACACGCCCAAGATGCTGGGCATCAAGCAAGTCAGAACACATTTAGATGCAGATGACGCTCTCCACCGTATGCAACTGAGCTAGAAATCAGTAACAACATAATTAGAAAAAACCCCAGCATTTATCCAAAGGATACAAACATAGCGATCTGAAGGGGCACGTGTGCCCCAATGTTCATAGCAGCAACGTCCACAACAGCCAAACTGTGGGAAGAGCCCAGATGTCCAACGACAGATGAACGGACAAACATGTGGTATAGATACACAATGGAATACTACGCAGCCATCAAAAATGAAATCTTGCCGTTTGCAGCGATATGGATGAAACGGGAGGGTGTTATCTGAGCAAAGTCAGTGAGTCAGAGACAATGATCACAGATCTTGTCATACGTGGAATTTAAGAAACAAAAGAGGAGCATGGAGGGAGGAAAATAAAATAAGACGAAATCAGAGAGGGAGACAAACCACAAGAAAACCTGAACTCTAGGAAACAAACTGAGGGCTGCTGGAGGGAGGGGTGGGACAGGGTAACTGGATGACGAGCGCGAAGGAGGGTCGGGATGGAATGAGCATGAGGTGTTATACGCAGCTGATGAATCACTGACCTCTACGTCTGAAACCGAAAAGGCACTATATGTTAATTAAGTTGAATTTAAATAAAAAGTAAAAAATAATAATAAAAAATAAAATGAAAAAATTGTGTACGTGAAAAAAATAGAAAAAAACCCAGAAGTATAGACATGCATGAACTCTACTTTTAAGGAACTCCCAATCAATGAAAAGTAATAATATGAATCATAAATACTTCGAACTACATCTCAACAGAAGTATTATAACACAGAAGCCTGTGGAAGCAGCTAACGCAATGCCTAGAGGGGTGCCTGTGGCCCTGGATGTTCAGCTGTTTTTAGGTTTCAGGGGAAAACCCTCGAATTACCAAGCTGGTAGACTGGTCTGTATGACGTTGCCGAGAGCACACACAGCCGCAGGGACCTGGCGGGAGGCAGGGTCCCGCTCCCCAGTGCAGGGCGGTCGGCCAGTGTGCAGCCGGTGCGCCCAGCCCATCACACCGTGACCCTGCACTGGGGAGCCCAGCTCCGCAGCTGCGCATTGGGCCTCAGGAGCAGGTCCCCACAGGTGATGTGCCAGACGTCCCCGCTCCACTCGCCCACCTCCTGAGCGAGGGCCCAGTGCAGCAGCGCAAAGCCCCAGAATACGGCCCTCCCCCCGCAAAGGCTGCTGGTGCTCTCAGGGTCGCAGACGGGCCCTCCACTCCAGGTAGACAACACCAGCACCTATCCCCCCCACCCCCGTCCCCCCAGGCCCGCAGAGCGCCCACAGCTGGAGAGCTCAATGCATCAAAGGCAACCCACTGGCTCTCCAAGTCTCCGCATTTAAAAAGCATCCTCCCCCACCTTGGGGTGCCTGGCTGGCTCAATCTGAATGGCCTGTGACTCTTGACCTCAGAGTCGTGAGTTGGAGCCCCATGTTGGATGAAGAGGTTACTGAAGTAAATGAAACTGTATAAAAGTGTCCCTCCAGCCCCAAAGGGCATTTACCTTGATGGCCTTTTCTGTTAATTGTCTTGCTATTTTGTATCTGTCTAATTTGGGGGAAGAAGTCGAGTCTTGGGAAATTCCTCGTTTTAATTCTGCAGGAGAGAAAGAGACATCCAGGCAGAGGTAAAAGTGCATAGGGTTGCTTGGGAAGGAAGCCCAGCCCACCTCCGGCCCCAGACCCTCCCCAGCAAGCCCTCAGCGTCCCCGCCAGGCTGTACCCCCCAGCCGGCCATCCCCAGGCGATGCCCTCTCTCAGCCCCCAGCCCACCAGTCCCAGCAGCTCTGGCTTGGGCACCCTCTCTCCTTGCTGGGCGCCCCACCCCCTTTGTGGCCACACCACACCACGACCACCCACCTCCGTCTCCGTCTGGGCCATCCCGCCCTCTCCTTCCCCTGACTCTGGCCACCAGGCTCCCAGCAGCACACACCAAGTTCTAGTGCAAACACCTTAAAGATTAAGATGAAAGCCCTCCTCTCTGCACCCCCTCCCCTCCATACCCCTGCGTTCTGCCATCTGCTGGGCTCCACCGAGGGCACCGCTCAGCTATCATCACACACACATAAGCCGATCCTGTGGTCACTCCCCTGGGCCCTGGCTCCTTGGACCACCAGACTCTTGGCCAGCCGGCGCTGTTCCCGTTGGCCCCCCTCCCCTCCTCACCGCGGCCCCTTCTCTCCCCCTAGGCCCTAACCTTGAACTGCCCGGGCTTTGACCTCAGACTCCATGCTTCCGGTCCATACGCACTCCCTGGGCCAGCTCACCTTGTCAAGCGGCATTCAATTCCACCACACCCAGGCCTCCCCCACACACCACGTGACCCCCTGACACCACCGGGACTCCCAGCACCTGGATGTCCAAGGAGCATCACAGGGGGACAGGCCAGCAACAGACACCCATCCACCCACCCACTGCCCCTCCTCCCTCCGTGGGCCCCGGAGACCCACATCCGCACAGCCAACTAATACAGACAAAAGCAGCGACGCCCTTGGCGGGGGCGGGGGGGGGCACCAACAACGGCAGGTCCACATGCGGAAAACAAATCGAACCCCAGCTGAGGACACGCAACAGTTCATCTGCTGCAGACCACGGGCCTCCACGTGAGAGCTAGACACACGAAGCTTCTGGCAGAAAGCACCAGCCGTAAAAGTTAACGTTGGGAAGATGACGTGCTCTGCTCTGTTAAGGAAAGGAGAACGCAAAGCACCAACTGGGAAAAAATATTCTCAGTGTAGACGTCCCACGAAGCCCAGCACAGAAGGAAGTACACTGAGTGGTTCCGTCCATGTGGGGTCCATGGTGCCAAAAGCCAGGAGAGAGGGAGGGTGGGAGGGGTTGGGAGGCACAAGGACACGGCCCCCGGCACCCCCGGTGCAAGAGCAGGGGCTTAGAATGAGCAAAGCCACGGTCGGCAGAATGACAGGACAAGACACGGAAGCCACAGACACGTGCCGTGCACGTGAGGCTGTCAGGAGCCGAGCAGGACAAAGGTCTGCGAGGACAAAGTTAGCAACATCGCCGCGTGAGCACACCCAGAGCCCCTCACCCGCCTCCAGGACACGGCGGCGTTAGGGAAAGCACACCTTCGAGAAGGTTGGGTGGTGAGCCCAGCGCCCTCTGGCCACAGCGACTGAGTCGGGGGTTAGCAACTGAACAAGGCAACCGGCGGAAAACTCGGGCACAGTCCGTACACGTGCGCCAAGTGACCCACGGCCAGACGAACTGAGGTGGAAAGCACTGCATACTTCTTAGCTAAATGATGATTAAAACACCAAACATCAGATCCCTGGGCTGTAGTTAGGTTGTATTTATGAAGAGATTTTAGCTGTAGATGCGTATATTCGAAAAATAGCAAAGGCTAAAAACTGAGTTAAGCGTCCATCTCAAGATGTTAGAGAGAACAGTAAATTCAAACCCAAAGAAATACAAGAAAATTAACAGAAAGGAGACACTGATGAAATATTTTTTAAAATCCAATAGAGGATTAGTCAAGTCAGAGGTTTACAACTAATAATATTAAAAAACAATTGATGAGGGGCGTCTGGGTGGCTCAGTGGGTTAAAGCCTCTGCCTTCGGCTCAGGTCATGATCCCAGGGTCCTGGGATCGAGCCCCACATCGGGCTCTCTGCTCAGCAGGGAGCCTGCTTCCTCCTCTCTCTCTGCCTGCCTCTCTGCCTACTGGTGATCTCTGTCTGTCAAATAAATAAATAAAATATTAAAAAAAAATTGGTGAGACCAACTTACAAAAAAGACAAGAGGCATAAAAATGCCATTTAAAACCTTCCCATCAGTACAACTCCAGGGCTGATGGCTTCGTGGGTGAATGGTACAGAACATCTCGTCTCGTACAACACATTCTGAAAGTAGAAAAGGCCAGCACATTCCAGGGAAGGAAGGTCCCAGGCAGTGTGACTCACACACACAGATGACAGAACCATACACACCATGGTCGCCTGGTGTCCTTTCAAGGCTGGCTTAGAAAAGCTTTGTAAACTGCACCACAGTAAGAGGGTCAGGAAAAGTCACAAATCCCATCTCCACAGACACAGAGAGTCTTAACTATCCCCAATTTCCATTTAGCTGAAAACTCGCAGTGAAGGGAGACACACAGGGGCAGCCCGGAAGTGACCCTCTGTGGCACCCGGCCTTTGGTTTCGAGCCCCGGGCTGCCCTGGCTGGAGGGATCCGAGCTCTCGGGAGAACTGGGATTCCCAGGCTGGGACCCTAGGAGCCTCAGGTGACCTCGGGGCATCTTGACGCCCTTACAGACTTGGATGGGGGACACAAAAAGATGCAGAAGCGGCGTGCAGAGGCGGGAGCCCCCGTGCAGACCGCTGGGAGCATCACGGAGTATGATGGTCACTGGCCAGACCCAGTCCAGACATCCGGTAGACGAGAGAGAGAGAGAGAGAGAGACGCAAACACAATCCTCCCCCTTGGCCATAAGAGATGCCCGCACCTTCCCTGGAAACCCGTGACTTTGGGGCAGGACCCCGCACCTGGGCTCACCTTCTGGGAGGATCAGGACTTCACTGAGGCTGAGGAGAGGGCAGCTCCTGTCTCCAGCCTTCCCGGCTATTCCAGGCACCTGCCCGCCCCCGGGAGGGGTGGGGAGGGGCAGGTGAGCGGGTGCAGCAGTGGTGGTGATGCCAGAGCACCTAGGGGCCGGACGACATCTCGTGCCCAGGCCCATGCGCCTCCCTCGGGAAGTGCCGGTCAACCTCTGGCACCACCTCCTGCCCAACCTCTAGTCCCATCGCAGAGGGATTTTCCCCCATCCCCACTCAGGGGCTTTGGACCGTCACCAGGTGCCCCAACACAGCTCCTCATGTGGCCACAAGACACACAACCCTACCACGGAGGGGTCTGGCCAGCACTGGCCTAGCGACTGGCGGCAGCACCGGTGACGGCACGGCCAGATGGCAGGGGCAGGTCAGGGCCAGAGCTCCACCTCCCAGGAATCTTGGCAAAACACTTGGCAAAACCAAAGGCCACTCTCATCAGGTCCACAGAGGGGGCAGAGGAGAGTAAACCGGCCCAGGCAACAGCCAGAAGAGTCCCGACTCAGGACTTGCTCCAGAACAACAGGCAGTCCTCCTCAGGCCCAGATCCTGGAAACACAAGGCGAGAGGAGTGGCCGCTCCGGAGGAGACGAGAGGGAACAGACGGGACAGCCTGATGTGGTGTGTGGTTCCCGACCACGTCTCAATCTGAACAAACCGACTCTGGGGCTTCCTGGGGAAATACAATGTATTCTGGGTGCTGGATTTTAGTGAGGAATTATTGTCCATCTGATCAAATGTGGAAAAGGAGTTTAGTTATAAAATGTCACTTAGAGATACTTAGTAAATATTTAGATAACACTAATATTTACTAGTAAATATTAACAAAAATTTCATAAAGTCATTATTAAAAAGAGAGGTACTCTCTAATATTAAAAGGATCAATTTGTCAGGGAGATATAAAAATTCCAAAAGTAGGGACACCTGGGTGGCTCAGTCGGTTAAGCCGCTGCCTTCGGCTCAGGTCATGATCCCAGGGTCCTGGGATGGAGCCCTCCTTGAGCTCCCTGCTCAGCGGGGAGTCTGCTTCTCCCTCTGCCCTGATGCCTCCCCTTCCCCACTTGTGCATGCACTCTCTGTCTCTCAAATAAATTTTTAAAAACTTAAAATAAAAAAGAATGATTAAACAAAGAATCAGTAGACTCGAGCAGATTTGCACACCGTGACTAACCAGCTGCACTTAAATGACGTAAATGGACACCATGTTCCGCAACTTGAGACACACATTTTCTTCATTTACTGTCTTCCACCACAGATTACATCCTGGCCCATAGAGATTCTCAATAAATCTCGAAGGATTGAAATGATGTAGTAAGTTCTCTGACAACTGTTAAATCAAACTACAAGTTAATAACAAAGAGGTAGCTAGGAATTTTCCTAAATGTTCCAAACTTAAGCAGCACACTTTGAAAATATGGACCAAGGGCGCCTGGATGGCTCAGTGGGTTAAAGCCTCTGCCTTCCGCTCAGGTCATGATCTCAGGGTCCTGGGATCGAGCCCCGCATTGGGCTCTCTGCTGAGCGGGAAACCTGCTTCCTCCTCTCTCTCTGCCTGCCTCTCTGCCTACTTGTGATCTCTCTGTCTGTCAAATAAATAAAGTCTTTTTTTTTTAATTAAAAAAAAAATAAAATAAATAAGAAATAAAAACATGGACCAAAGGAGAATCTCAAAAATGATTTGAGCTTAATGATAATAAAAATATGACATATCAAAACATTATAATGCAGCTAAAATAGTGATTAGAGAGAAATTTATAAATTTAAATTCATATATTAACAAATGAAAAGCTATCTGAGCTACCATCCAAACAGGCTAGCAAGGGAACAATTAAACAAAAAGAAAGTAAAAGAAAGAAAATAATAAAGAGCAGAATTCAGTTAAATAGAAAATAAATGTGCCATAGAGAAAATTAACAAACCAAAAGTTGGATCATTGAAACAATTTTTTAATTGATAAACTTTTTCTAGATCAAGAAAAATGAGAAAACACAAATATACAATATCAAGAATGAAAAAGGGAACATCATTACTGATTATACAGAAGTTAAAATGATAAGATATTATGAACAACCACATGCCAATAATTCGACAGTTCATAGGAAATTAGCATTTTCCTTGATAAAAACAGCTTTATCAAAACTGACCAAAAAACCTCAGAAAATCCAGGTAGGCTTATTTTTGGTTAAGAAATTAGTTCCATAACTAAAAACTTCCCATAATGAAAACTTCAGGTCTAGATGGCATCACAGATCAATCTTTCCAAACATTAGGGGGGAAAATATCTTATATGAGCCCTCTCGTTGAATAAGGAAATAATAAACCCTTTCAATTCCTTTTTAGGTGGTCATAAATTTAATACCAAAATATAACAAGGACATTATAATAAAAGAATAACACTGCCAACTCATTCATAAAAAGAGCATAAAAATCCTAAACTTTGTAACTCAGATCCAGTTGTACAAAACCAGACAATATGACCATGTGAAGTTTATTCCAGGAATACAAAGTTGGTTTAATATTTGAAAATCCATCAACATAATATACCACATTAATAGACTAAAAGTTAAAAATACATTATCATCTCAATAGATGCAGGATAAAGCACATGATAAAATGTTATAACTATCCATTAAAAAATTTATCAGTAAACCAGGAATAAAAGAGAACTTCCTTTAAAAAGCCTAGAGCAGCAGCATACTTCATGGTGAAATATGGAATGCTTTTCTCCCTCAGTTTGGGAGCTAAAAAAGTTGTCCGTTAGATCACTTCTGTTCAACATTATACTGAAAGTACTAGCCAATGCAATAATGCAAGAAAAGGAAATAAAATGTCTAAAAACTGAAAAGATTTACAGATGATGACTGTGTATGTAAGAAATCTCAATGAATCTACTAGCTATTAGAACTAGTTAGCGAAGTGGGGGCGCCTGGGTGGCTCAGCGGGTTAAAGCCTCTGCCTTCGGCTCAGGTCATGATCCCGGGGTCCTGGGATCGAGTCCCGCATCGGGCCCTCTGCTCAGCAGGGAGCCTGCTTCCTCCTCTCTCTCTACCTGCCTCTCTGCCTACTTGTGATCTGTCTGTCAAATAAATAAATCTTAAAAAAAAAGAACTAGTTAGCAAAGTAACCAAATGACAAGTCAGTGCAATAAAATTAATTGTATTTCTATATACGCAGAATAATTAGAAAATGAAACTCAACAATGTCATCTCTAAAAAACATCACATATCTAGGAGTAAATCTAACAAAAGGAGTCTCCCATATCTGTACTCTGAAAACTACAAAACACTGTTGACAAGAATCAAAGAAATAAATGTTCCTGGGTTGAAAGACTCAATATTGATAAAATGTTAGGTTTCACGCAAATTGATCTATGGATTCAATGTAACCAAAATCAAAATCCTAGCAGGATTCGTGTGTGTGGGTGTGGGTTAAATTAACAATTTGATTCTAAAATTTATATGGTAAATGCAAAAGTCTAAGAAAACCTAAACAAATCTTGAAGGATAAAGTCAGAAGACTCACACTACAAAATATCAAGACTTATTGTAAAACTATTGGAATTAAAACAGGGTAGTATGGACTCAGGATAGGCAAAGAAATCAATAAAAAAGAATGGAAAACAAAAAATAGGTCTAGGCCTGATTTTCCACAAAGGTGAGGTTGCAGGGCCCACCTGGGTCAATTAGATATTCACATGGGGGAAGACTGAACGTTTGCCCACCCACTCCTACCTCACTCCAGAGGAAACAATCCCTGTGAATTGTTGAGGTGAATATGAAATATTACATTATAAAGTTTCCAAAGGAAAACAGGATACTGTTTTCTGGACGATGGGGTGGATACAGATTTCCTAGTAAGACTCAAAAAAGTACTACCTATAGAAGAAAAGATTGACTATTAAAGGTTCTTACAACTAAGAAGTTGATTTTCAGATGGACTCGTAAATTGCTGGAAACACCCGCCAGGGACCAGAAGGTCCTTATAATCCATTTAACCGACAAAGAACTGATGTCCGTCCAGCAGAGGCCAAGAGCTCCTACCACTCAAGAAGGAAAAACCACAACTCAGTTAATAATGGCCGAAAGACTAGCACGGATACTCCACAAAGACCCCAGAAAGGAAAGTGGAGTGGAAACCACAGTGAGGCGCCCCGCACACGCACCCAGTGCCCAGAATGAATGGGACGAGGCCCACCGCTGGCCTGGGTGGGGACCAGCTGGGCCTCTTACCCCCGCAGTGGCCTAAAGCTGAGCAGGAGCCCGCCCTGGACCCCGCGAGCTCGCCCTCAGGTGCGCCCCGGCGAGGAGGAGCGCACGGGCAGGAAGGGTTAGGGTTAGGGTTAGGGTTAGCGCCCATTTACTCAGCTCTAGGGAAGGGCTGGCCGGCGCTCCTCCGGCCCCGCGCCCTAACCCAAGCAGCGGACTTGGCGCCCCTTTCCCAACCTGAACTCTGAAGTCGACCCTCTTGGAGGGCAGGAAGGTGGAGGGCAGAGGGCCGGAGGGGGCGTGGCGTGGCGGGGCGGGGTTCTCCGGGAAGGGGCTTCACGCCCCGGGTCTCGAGTCAAGCCCGGGCCCAGCGCTGCGTCTGAGCCGCGAGCCCCCGCCCCGTTCGCGCCTCGAACCGCGAGCCCCCAGACGGCGGGCGAGGACGACACTGACTGGTCTCTTCTCTGGGGTCTCCTTCCAGGGAAGCGGACGGGAGCCTCTTCCTCTCTGCGGGCTCCATGCCGGCCTCCGGCAGCTCGCCCCAACTCGCGCCCGCTCCCGCCCCTGCAACGAGAGGGGGCGTCGGCGAGGGCTCGGGCCGGAGGGCATCCCCGCGGGGCGGGGGCGCGGGCCGGGCTCTGAAGCCAGGCTGAGGGAAGCGCAGGTGTAGGGTCGGGGCAGTCTGGGGGGAGAGGGGCCAGTCTAGGTGCGCAGGGGGAGGTCTGCGCCCCCGAGGGCGAGGTGAGGGCGCGGGCGGGTCCGGGCGCTGGGCTGGAGGCCGGGCGTCCGCGGAAGAGCGGTTCTGGGCTTCCGAGCACCACGTCCGAGAGTCTGGGGCCTGGGGGAAGGGGCGGGGGAGTCCGCCGTCCCTGCGCTGGGGCGGGCGCGTCGGGGATCCCGAGGGCTCTAGCCCGACGGGGCGCGGGGTGCTGTCCGGCATCCGCAGGGGCACAGGGCCTGGGGGCTCCGAGGCGAGCGGGGCCAGTGCTCACCCGGGACCGGCCCCGTGGCGCGCGCTGCGCCCCCGCCCCCCGCCGCGCCGCCAGGCGTCCCGTGGTTGCCCGGGGCAACGGGCCGGGTTTGCGCGGCGCATTGTGCAAGCCGCGCCCGCGGGGGGAGCGGGGCGCAGGGCCCGGAGGCCGCGGCGCGGCGGCCGGCGCGGGGCGTGGGGCTGCGCGGGCGCGCTGGCGGCGGGGGGCGTCTGGAGCGGCTGCGGCGGCGCGTGTGGGACGCGGGTCCCCGGGGGCCGCGGTCAGTGGCGTCAGCGCTGGACCCGGAGCCGGGGCTGCCGTTCGAGGCGTGGGGGTGGGGGCCGGGGCGCCGGGCCATGGCGTCCTCGGGGAAGGACCGGGCGCACCACCCCCGCTCGGGTTCCCGAAGCCCCATCAGGCGCAGGGCTGTTGGTCACAAAGACCCGCCCTGGCGGTCAGAGGCCCCCAAGTCACAAAGAGCGAGAGTCACAACCGGTCCCTGACCCCACCCCACGCCCCTCTCAGACCCTCACTCCCGGTGCCCCACAACGGCCGGGCGGGGGGAGCAGAGACCGAGATGCAGTCCCTGGGGTGGCGATGCCGGCAGGGGGCTGCACACCGGTGTCCCCACGTGGGCTGTGGGCAATCTCTGCCAGCAGGGCAGCTTTCCCGTCCTGGGAAGAACCCGAGGGGGACTTTGTGTCCCCAGGGTCATTCGTGGCGGCCTCCCTCCCCACCCCCATGTTCCAGCTGCACCCAGGGTCCCACACCAGCCAAAGTCCCTGAGCCCTTTTCCTCCTCCTTCCTCCCTTCCTCTTTGTGGAGGGAGGAGTGAGTAAGAAAGACCCACCTACCCTATTGCTCCAAGTAAATTTCCGAAACCTACCTATTATCTTTATTTGGTTTTAAATCATCTTTATTTGGCACTTAACTTCCCAAGATGGCCTAAAAGTGAGGTTCCACTCTCTGCATTAGCTGTGGCAGTGTGGGTGGGCAATGCCTCTAGGCAGGAAGGGGTCTTTGTGCCCCTTTCCAGTCTTCACTTGCAAGCCGCAGGTGCTCACCAGTCCCCACCTCCACGTGGCCTCACAAAAGTCACAAAATAAGGAGTGGCCTCACCTCCACCAGCCCTCCTATGCTTTACCTCTCATTTTTCTCAGAACCTGGGCAAAGTGATCCCTGAGAGACCCAAAATGAAAAAGGCCACGTTTACATGTTAGCATTTATTGCGCAGGAGATACTGAACTACATCACACGCAAACGAAAACAGAATTATAAATTTCTAAAACCCCATTAGCCTCTGTTCCTCAAGCTCTCTTCGAAATAAAGTACAAGCCAGTGCTAAGCCCCCAGGTGTCTAATTCCAGCTTGGAGACTCAGATTTTTCTGTCCCCAGGACAACATCAGCATGGACTGTGCTGCCTTTGTCCCAGGCTCCTAGCAGAGCCCCTTGGCCTCCTGGCCTGAACGCCACAGGAAGAGGAGGGGACGGGAACTGTGGCTGGGGGACCTGTGCGCACGCGCACACGCGGGTGGGTGTGTGCACGTGCAGGAGAGCCATCAATGGCATTCGGAAGACAGTCCACCTCTCCCGTGTCTCACCTACTTTCATCCTGTTTGAAAACGGCCCAGGTCATCGTGAATGCTCGTGAATATGGGCAGCCAGTCCCTTGGGCTTGGAAATGAGAAACCAGGGAGGATCCTGGAATCCACCCGCCAGGGCCACACTCGGCCAGCCCCAGACAATCCTCACTAATGAGCCACGGTAGAGGACCTCAACGCAGCAAGGAGCAAACCTTAGCACCTTCCAGCAGAGCAGAGGGCCGCCCCACTCCTTCCACGGGAGGCAGAGGTGGGTTGCCTTGGGAATGAAAGCGCGGGCCAGGACAGTTCCTGGAACACTTCCAGAAGCCGCTCCCAGCTCATTGCGGTTTATCAGCGCAGTCAACTGGGAAAAGAGAACTGCGCTTCCAGAAATTCCAGGATACTCCCAGGACAAGGAGACGGCGCGAACTAGTTTTGGGACATGACTTTAACTGAAGCAAATGTTCTTCTCACACCACACTGTCTCAGGCAAAGGGGCAGGGACAGTGGGAGGAGACCCCCAGCCTGGGACTGACCTCAGGTGAGTGAGGTTAAGAAACAGACTGGCTGGAGGCTGCGTAGCAACGAGCCCCGCGGAGAGTTCCAGGGGCGTCCATCCGGCATTGTGAGCTTGGTAACAGGAGTGGAGGCAGAAACCATGACAGGGGAGGGGACCCACCTGCCTCAGCAAGGCCAGTGAGACCAGGAAATGGGGCCCAAGTTTGCAGAGCCTTGGACATGGCCCCACCCCAAAGAATACTGAGCCGTGGTGTGGCTCGGGTCACGCTCCGTATGGGTGCTGACCAAGGGCTCAGGAGCTGGAGGGCCCCTGGCCAAGGGCAGACCAGCACTGCTGGCGCGGACCTCCGCGCCCCCGGCGCGACACAGACACCAGCGCCACAGAGCAGGCAGGGTCCTTCTGCCACGACAGGGGTGAACAGAGAGAGAGCAGACACTGGGGCGCGTGGGCTTCACAGAGGGATGGCGGCCGTGCGCCCACGGCCCTGGGAACAAGGGCCTACCCTGACTCGTGAGACGCAATGGGGACACGCAGCTGTGCTCTCTTGTCAGAAACCACACTGGCAGGCTGGGCCCTGGTCCAGGCCCGTCTCAGAAGAGAAACCCTGTTAGACTCACGTGGGGCCGTGTGTGTCTGCTCAACACGAGCAAGCCAGGGACGCCGGCCCGGAGCTGGAGGAGCGGACGGGGGCTGGCCACACGTCCCAGCCTATGTATCAGCCCCGGAGGGCTTGGCTCCGAAGGGGCCCGGGCTCGCCTGCAGGCCCCACTGCTCACGAGGGGGGCGCCTCAGGGCCAGGAACCTACAGACCAATAAGCAGAATTAAACTACTCTAAGAAATGAAAACTCCACCTTGCCACCGGGCCTGGCTGGGCAGTGGTAGCTGGAGGACCACGAGCCAGGCAGGGCCCCGCTCCTGCCTCGGTCTCCCCAGCCCGCGCTCACTGGGCCATCTGCACCACGACGGCCCGCCAGGCTTTCTCCTTGTCGAACTCCTTCAGGGGGCTTCTGGACACCTGTGGCCAAACAGGCAGAGTGTTACTTCCCCTGGGCCCCCCACCCCCGCGGCAGCAGGCAGGCGGGAAAGCTGTTCACTGGAGAGCTTCTCTCACCTGTGACAACACAGGAAACAGCACAGGACCCCAGGGGTGGGGAGGCCATGGACACCCCGGCCCCTCCACCTCCCACATCCCCCCCTGGAACACAGCTGGGCAGGGGTGGGAGGCCACGCGAGCGTCCGCCCCACAGACATCCCAGCACCTGCAGCACAAGCATCTGCATACAGTAGGCGCCCAATAAACAGACACCACAGTGCAGGAATCAACAGGGCAGGTGAGGGCCTCCAAACTCTTCCTGGGGGGAGGGGACCAGCACCCCTGCAGAGAAGGGGCCTGAGGAGAATACCTGAGGCCAAGGTCAGCAGATGGGAACAGGGAGGCCAGCTGCCCGGCCCCTGGGCCTCTGGACCTGCTGTTTTGGAATCTTCTGGGAGTTCTAACTCAGCAGTCAGCACAGAGGTGTCCCCACCCAGACAAGGTGGGTCTCTGGTAGGTCCTGGGGGCAACGCCATCCCGTCCCTGCCGGAGACCAGCCCTCACGGATAAAAAGCAGGAGAGGACACCGCCTCTGGATCTCAGTGAAAGAGAGCACAGGGCAGGACGGAGGGCCCAGCTCGCTGAGCAGGGGCCCACGGCGAGAGCTCGGGCACGCACAAAGGCCAGTCCACGGTATGAACACCTCACGGGGAGCGCACTGACCCGTGGCCTTCCAGCCGTGGGGGCCTCGAGCCTGGCGGAGGGGCTGGCATGAATCTCCAGAGCCTGCCGGCCAGAGGTCACTTACACCACCCGTCGGGGTGGGCAGGCGCCCCTGAGAGGGGCCGGGAAAGGACCGCCGCGACCTGTGTGGGTCCTGAGCAACTTCCTGTCCGGTGCACAACACCTTTTCAGGAACACATGTGAGCACCGAGCCGCCCAACCAGCCAGGACGGTCCCCTCCGCTGCTCACCTCCCCCGCGGGGCGCGCGGGCGGGCCGGCCTGCACGGTGTCCCAGGACGCGGCCAGCTTGAAGCTCACGCACTGCATGACGGTGCCCGTGTTGAGGCCGGCCTGGAGCAGCAGGGTCAGCAGCAGCAGCAGCAGCAGCACGTCGTAGGATTGCTGCGGAAACAGGGCGGTGAGCGGCGCGGCCCGCGTGGGACAGGCTGCTTCCGCCGGCCGAGGGAGGCCGTGCAGGCAGTGCCTGGGCTCCAGGCTGAGCTGAGCCACTGCGACTCGATCCAGGTAAGAGCCCTTCTGCACAAGGATTTCTGTCTCACCGACAGGAGGCGAGGGAATCGATTCTGCCCCACATTCTGCAGCCCTGGGTTTGACAGGACACGAAGATGGCCCCGGGGCTCCCCGCCTAGTCTCCCGTGCCCCGACACCACCACCCATAGGGCCCCATGTGACGACACAGAGGGCGTCCCCGTGGGGTGGGGTCCCCGGCTGTGTGAAGCAGGCCGCCCTGGGACGCCCGGGCCATGGCCCACGGACGCCACCCACCTTCCCCCGGAGCTGAGCCTGGCGGCTGCTGGAAAAGAAACTTCCGAGGAGCGCCTGGCACAGCAGGGGGTGGGGGACGGAGGGAGCCTTGGCGAGCAAAGGATCCTGGCGCGCCCCCGGCCCTCCCAGCCCAGGCGACCTTCGGCAGAGACACAAAACCCCAGCTCCACACAGTGTCACTGTGGAAACACCTCTTCGCAAGTTAACGTACAAATCTATCCACAAGCCCAGTTTAAAAAAAAAAAAAATGCTTCTGGAGCCAAGCAGCTTGATTCTAAAACCCACACAGGAAAACACACACACAACTAAGGGGACCCTGAGAAGCGGTGACGGCTAAGTAGGCAACAGGCCTGGTCCAACATGAAGCCAGTCGGCAAACTTCCAGGACCGGCACCCCGCGGCACTGGCTACGTGTGAGAGCGGCAGGCGCAGAAACAGGCCGGCAGGGCCAGAAGCTCCACTGCGCGCAGGGCTGCAGGTCCCCGAAGGGCAGGGAAGGTGGACGTTCTAGTCCCCAGCGTCTGACAGCCTCGTGCTCTAGGTCAGCTCCTGCCAGACGCAAGCACCAGCCTTTCTCATGGCGATGGAAACTCCAGAAGTAGCAAAGGAAGAGACTGACCAACTTAACAGCATAAACAGAGACGTCCTCAGGACAGAAGTCACAGCTGTCGGGCGGGGGCCAGTGTCTGGACCCTCCGTTCCACAGCGCCAGTCTCCCAAATACCGGTTGAGTGCAAGACCCCCGGAAAGTGGGCAAGACACAGACGCAGGGGCCACTAGGAACGACAGGCCAGCACCGCCACACACAGTCCAAGGCCACGTGTGTCCAGAGAGATGCCCACGGCAGCCACACCCGCGCACGGCCTCCCCCACATGACAAAACCAGTGACGAGCCCCAGAGAAAGGTGGCTACAGCGCGTGCAGAGGATGAAAGCCGAGTCCGCGGTGGCGCTCAGAAGGGAAGGGCGCCACCCGTCACACCGCGCGTCACACCACATGCAGCTTGTCGGAGACGCGGACACGAGACCCAGGTGTCCGTCACCTTTCTTCAGCCCTCAGTGTAGAACAATGGCTCAGGCGAGGCCAGCCGCCAGGGCCTGTGCCAGGTGCTGGGACGCGGTGTCCGCAGGTGCCCGGCTCACACTCAGTCATGGTTGTTTCCGACCCACGAGAGCCCCACACCCAGCCCCGGCCCGGGTGCTCCGGCAGCTGCTGCTAAGCCAGACGGACGCTGACCACACGCGCCCCAGACCCCACGCCCACTGGCATCACAGGAAACGGACCAACACGTGCAAACTTCTTCCAGACACTTAGCCTGGACTCCAAGAGTCAGTGTCGCGGGGGCAGAGGCGGGGACCGCTGATGGACAGACTCAGCCAGTCCCGCTCCAGAAGCTTCCCTCGGGAGGCACACCCTCGGGCTGGTCTGTGTGCACTGCCCGAAGGCCACACTGCGTGATTTCAGGCCCGTCGACTGCCACATGGGGCTGTGGGCATGTAGGAGGAAGTCCTTTTGGAAATTCCGAAGTACTCCTGGGGAAGGCTCCCACCGTCAGACCCTGGCCAGTCCCTTCAGATGCTTCTGAAAAATGACACACCTGTGTATGTGCTCCCAGCCGTCGTGGAAACACACGTGTGCAAACAGCATGTAGCTGCTGGGGATCTTGGTGCTCAGGCGTCTTTCCGTCTGTGTGTCTGTGTCTGAAATTTCTCATGACAGACACTTGGGAGCGAACAGCGCACGTACTGGTAAGAAGCAGAGTTACCTCAGCAATAAACCTGGGGCCGCGTGTCTGAGCCCACGGAGGGACTAGAAAGTCCGCATGTTCCTATGTGGAAAGGCCCTCAATTCTCCTCAAATTTGTCTAGAGATAAAACGGAATTCCAACAAGGTTGTCACACACCCACATGGAGAGCGGGTTCTACCGTGGCCATGGGAGCAGGAAGGGCCGAGAATCTCCCAGAGAGCCGTGAAGAAGGGGTGTCGGGGTGTGCTGCGACACCAGACAGAACGGCCCAAACTTTGAAACAGAGCAGCTTGCGCAGAGCAGGGCTGGGGCGGCACGGGCGTCCGAGCAGGAGCCGGACACCTGGTTGTCCCACAGAAGCGAGTCCGGGGCTGCTCAGGCCACATATGGGAGCAGCTCCGGCAGGCCGGACGCTCGGCCAGGCCACGTGTCCTGGGAGACCCCTCCCGCACAGCCCACGGGGCAGCAAGGCCACGTCCACACAGGGTTCTGAGCGAAAGGAGCACATACCTCCACGGCGGGCGGGTAGTCCTTGAAGATCTCCAGGATCCTCATGATGCTGAACGACAGGTACCCAGAGGCGGTGAACAGCAGCGGGGACGTGAGGCTGCAGATGGCGATCAGCATCTCCACCTGCGGGAGAAGATGGGCGCTCGGCTCGGCCGGGCCAGTGGGCCTGGGAGCCACAGCCGGCACAGGTGTGGGCAGACGTTGGCGTCTGCATTCTGCCTGAGGCTCCTGCTAGGGTCTGAGCTTGGTCTCCCGTGAACTCCGAGACCCCCAGCTTCCTCACAACTACCCACTCTGTTGGGAGAGGGACACACGCGCAGCTGGCCTCTCACAGTGGTGCGCAGACCGTGCCACCGGGTGGGCCGGGCCGCCAGGCACACGGGGGCTGCAAAGTATGAATGCGGGGAGTTCGGGCCCAAACTGAGTGTCTGTCGCTGTCCGACAGCGGGTCACCTGACAAGACGCAGCAGGCTGAGGCTGGTGGGCCAGCGTCCGCCCCGCTGAGTCCCAGGACTGTCTCGGGACTCCCCCCGCCCACCATTTCCGCAGACAGTCCCACCCTCCAAGCAGCACCCGCCAGGCCTCCCTGCCCACCCCGCCGCCCGGTTCCCACTGCTGCCACCGTGGGGGAGAGCTAGGGAAGGGGCCAGGCGGCCAGGCCTCACTTACCAGACACCTGCTGGGGCACTCAGCCGTGACGTGACTGGCAATAGCACTCGGGAAACACTAGGAGGAGAGAGAACACAGCCTCAGAGGGGCTGGCAGGGACGGCTGCTCCCTGTGCTCTCCTGTTTCGGGGGTCCAGCGGGCTGGGGCTGGGATGGAGAGGAGAGGGGCGGCCTCTACAAGGCTATGGAGGAGCTGGGGGAGCCGCCCCAGGGTCATTCCGTCGGCCGAGCCGGGCTGCCTGCCCCCAGCAGCCGTGTGCGAACCTGCCGACACGGAGACGTCCTCGGGGACCGCGCTCCACCAGCACCCAGCACGCGGCGCTCCCACGGGTTCAACAGCACCGCGGCGTCCATATCCGCCCCATCCCCAGTAACATCCCGCCGTCTCTGACCCTGCTTTGGGCTGACCAGAGACCCTCGCCCTCCACGGTCAGACGTGGGCGTTTCTGAAGAGCGCACCAGCTCGCTGCAGGCTAGCCTCGGCCGGGGGGGACTCAGAGGCCCCCAGGACCACCCGCCGCGCTGACTGCTCCACTGCGCAGGTCCCCTGCCCCTTCGGTGACACGGGTCCGCTTCATCTTACTGGAAGGGACAGATTTACTCGGACGCCATCTGGGTCACACAGTCCAGGCGGGGGAGAGAAGCAGGAGGACACGTCCTTCCCGAGGAGACCAGGGCTGGGCCCGCCGAGCCGACTGAGCCCATGGACCCAAGTGTGTGCAGGCGCTGATTAGCCACATGCCCTCATGGGAAGGGACACACCCACGACCTGGGTGGGCACGGCTCGGACCCCTGGACACTGGGAGGCGTCTGCACTGGCTTAGGACTCTGGCTTGAGGGTGAGCGGGACACAGTAGGCTCTGCAGCAGGAGGACAGAGAGGGGAGCAGCCCTCTGAAGGCGCTGGTCTCAGCAGGGGTGTGGGCATGGCTGCAGAGGTGAGTGGGGCGGGCCTGGAGCCTGGGGTGAAGGTGCTCCAGCAAGCTCTCTGGTCGGAAGCAGAGGGGGACCTCTGGGTGCAGAGCAGTCGCTTAGGAAGATTCAGTGGCCCCGGCATGCCGGGAGCAGGGCTCAGGTCTGCTGGGTGGTTCCTCCAGCCCCAGGCCCTGGACAGCGGGAAAATGGCCTGTGGCGGGGAGCTGTTCACACACACACACACACACACACACACACACACACACACACACACCACTGGCCCAGGGATGGCACAGGAACAGGCTTCCAGCCAGGACCCAAGCCCTAGACCGCGGCCTGGTCTATGACCTTGGCCTCTCCTACTGTTCCCAGACCACCCCTCCCCACCAGGGACCACCCGTGATCCTTTTCTCTCCTCATTCCACATCTGGGGGCGCAGGGGGCACCTGCAGAGAGAGAGGCCCAAGGAGGCTGGTCTGGGGATGATGGCCACACCATCCTCTCCGCCTGCTCTCTCTCCCCAGGCTCCAGTCCTTGGGAGGTCCCTTGGCCATCATTCCCAGGGCTCGGCCAGGCTGGGCACAGGCGCCCATGGTGTTGCTCTGAGCCGTGGGATGCAGCAGGACTCCGGGCCCAGCGTCCAGAGGAGACACCAGTCCCCCTTCCTGTGGCTGAATGTGCTAGCAGGCAGCACCTCCAGGAGAGCAGGAGGACCAGGCCAGGGATGCTCCCTGTGTCCTGTCCACTCAGACAGGATGGCCCTGGACAGCAGGGTGGGACAAACCAGCCCCTCCTGCAGGCGCCCCATGCGACCCAGGGACGTGGCAAAGCAGCCCCGGGGTGACCACATCTGGGAGCATGGGGCACGCAGGGGTCGATCTTAACCATTCCATGTGGCAGTGAGGAGCCCACACCTGCCAAGGCCGCCTGTGGCTGCAGATGGGAGACGCTGGGCATTTCTGTTCGACACGAGCAACGTCCCCTGCTGTCAGTGACGACAGACTTGCTCATCAGACCATGAGGCCACCAGGAGTACTCACGGCCACTAAGATCCAAAAGAACGTCACTGAGAGGTGCGGCCCCGAGACAGCGTCGTCCACGTTCAGAGCAATGACGCCACCCAGGACGGCAGAGACGCCAGCAATCACCTCGATGACCTGGGGGGCAGAGCACACAGGCGGGGTCACCCAGGGAAAGCGTCTTGCATGCGGCCGGCGGGCAGGGGTGCGACTGCTCTAAGAGCTCAGGGCAAAGGAGCCAACACGTGGAAATGCTGAGGACAACCTCTACGAGAACATGGAAAAATGCATAGTTTCCAACTCAAAATTGCTGGGAAAAGTTAAAAAGCAGGACGACACTCCCACACTTTCCAGGTGGGAAAGGCCCTGGAAGGCAAAGCAACGAGAAAACCGAGAAGCGACAAAACTCGGCACACACGTGGCCACGTGGTGACATGGGCTGCCCACGAGGGACGGCGTCCACGAGGCCCCGGACAGGACGGCAGTCCCACACAGTGCTGGAAGCGTCCCCAAACACAAGCGGGGCTGAACGTCGGGGCAAAAGGGCACAGCCCACAGGGCCGATGGCGGGAGAGCCGGGCCACTGACCCGGTCAGCACAGGCTTTATGACGAACGCCGGCGGGGGACTTGCTAAGTGATGACAGAAGGAAACCTGCACGTGTCCGGGGACACAAGCTCCAGACACCGCGGCGGGGAGCTACAGAAACGAGGAAGGCTGCGCTCAGAACGGAGGGTTATCAGAACAAGTGGAAAACACCCAAGTCTGGAAACAGGTGACCAGAGAGGGTGGCCACGACACCCCTTCCAACCAGGATCCTTGTGAGAGGAAGGGGGTGAACCTGAGGACCGCCCCGGAGAGCAGGGGACACTCAGGACGCTGTGTCACACGACCCTCCGCACGTAAATAAAGGGAAGTCTATCTCACCGAATAGGACTTCAGGACCCGGGCAGGAAAGGCCACTTCATACAGCGCGTTGGCACCGTCCGGCATGGGACCCTGAGAGGAAAGACACGTTTGGCTGCTGACATCACAGGTGCCCAGGGGCGGGGGTGCACCCTAAGAGAGCCGCTGCCCCCGCTCTCCACACCAGACCCTGTGCTGAGGTCAGAGGTTCTCCCCGCCTGTGTAAATGGGGTTCGTTGCTGCTCGGTTTTCAAGGTGACACTTGCTATAGACTTTGTCTCTGCGTGGGAAACGCCGGGCCCCGGGTCTGGACCAGAACCACACGGAGCGGGGAGGTCGCGTCGCACCTTCCACTGTGCTCCCTGCAGCCATGAGCCTCGGGACTCCCTGGAGATGTGGGGCTGTGTGGGGCGCCCAGGGGCAGGCTTCCGTCCCGCCGACCTGTGCTCTGGGGCGCCAGCTGGGGATCCTGCGCAGCCCGTGGCCGGACCCACCTTCTGCTTACAGGGCGCCTCGCTGGACCGTGCTGAGATGATCACTGTGGCTGCCATGAAAATCTCCAACAGAAGGAGCAGAATCAGATTGAAATTTATCTGCCAAAAGAGAACACATGTGTCTATAAAACAGAATCTTCACTTGCTTTCCATAAACGCAGACAATCCCACGGACAGGCTTAGAAGTCCAAGCTCCAGGCAGCCTTCCTGAGCAAGGCCAGATGCTAGGCACAGGGGCCACACACCCCCTAGGACTCTGACTCTCTCTCTCTCGAAACCATTCTTAGCTCTAGGCCTGGATTTGGCGACCCCCGAGATAGCCCTTCCTTAGTGGTTTGCCCCTCCTGGGTATTTAAAGATACAAAAACTGAAGTTCATTTCAAAACTGGGAGCCTTTACACAGCTCTGTGCAGGACGCCAAGGCCTGAAGAGGCCAGGGCCTCGGGGATGAGACGGTAGTTCCACATCGTGACTGTGTCGGCCACTATAGAAAACCTGTGTCTCTGATAACAATCACAGAACAAAATGCTAAAAACAAACAAACAAAACCTAATTAATAAATTATAGGATATGCATGCAAGCTGGCTGACCTGGGGCCCTGGTCGCCCACCCTCTCTGTGGGGCTCACGGCCTCGGGGCCTCCCTCACCCGCCCCCAACCCCAGGGCAGGTGCCCCACAACCAGGGAAGCCCGGAGCCCGTGGACGGTAGTCACACGAGCCAGTCCTCAGCCTGTTCCCCTGCCTTGTCCGTTCCTTCCCTTGTCCGTTCCTTCCTGCCCTCGTCCCTTCCCGCTCTGCCTCCTGGTGCTTCCCTCAGGGGCCCCCAGCCTGGGCACGGCCTGCCCCCCCCTTCCTGGGGCTGTGAGGGATGAGCTAGCTTCCCGACAGCGGCTGTCTCCTGGTCGCAGGCCTCCGCAGCCCCGAGTGATAATAAAACCACATTTAAAATCAGATGAAGTTAATATGTTTGATCTACAGAACTCTACATGCAAAATAAAACAGACAACGTTTGTTCTTTTATATATTTGGTGGAATGTTAACAGAAACTGACCATCTACTAAGCCACAAAATAGCCTAGGTAAATTCCAAAAAATCTACACAAGTTGTACATTCTGACTGTAAAAATAACATTAGAAAACAACAAATGGAAGGTTTTAAAAAATAATCCCATGGGTCTGTTTCATCAGGTTCTTGACAAGAAACCTAGGGATAGCCATGAGGAGGGACTGGAGGAAACCCACCAGTGTGGCAGCGACCAGTGAGGACCAGGGGAGGGAGGGCATGACCATGAAAGAGGACCGAGCCCCCGTCCCAGCACCCCGGAGGGCTCAGAGCCAGGGGACGGACACACTAACCACTCGCTAACAACCCGTCTCCATCTCTCACGGGCACACGTGCTGCCTCCTGGCACAGGCAGGCAGGCATTGCGTGGGAAGCAGGTCTGGAGAGGCAAACGGGAGGCGTGCAAATCCCTAAAACCAAGCAAGGATGAAATGCTACGTGTCGGATCGGAGGCAGCTAAGCCGGAGCTTGGAGACGGAGCAGACGCACCCCAGTGGGCTCGGCTGCCAGCCCACCACGGATGGAGGGCTCCGACCCCCTGCTGGCCCACCCAGAAGCAGCCCCGGACACATGGGAAAGAGAGCACGGCAACCACAGACAAACCAAAGCAAGAGCTGGTTCTTCGCAAGGATGTATAAGGCAGATACGATGAAGACACGTGAAATTCTGAATGAAAAGAAGTTACACATGGCTGTCCAATTGGACAGCTATTGTAGAATGAAACTCGACCATTTTCTTACACCACACACAAAGATAAACTCAAAATGGATAAAAGACCTCAATGTGAGGCAGGAATCTATCAAAATCTTAGAGGAGAACATAGGCAGTAACCACTTAGACATCGGCCACAGCAATGTCTTTCAAGACACATCTCCAAAGGCAAAGGAAATGAAAGCGAAAATGAACTTTTGGAACTTCATCAAGATCAAAAGCTTCTGGGAGGTGCCTGGGTGGCTCAGTGGGTTAAAGCCTCTGCCTTCGGCTCAGGTCGTGATCCCAGGGTCCTGGGTCCAGGGTCCCACATTGGGCTCTCTGCTCAGCGGGGAGCCTGCTTCCCTCTCTCTCTGCCCGCCTCTCTGCCTACTTGTGATCTCTCTCTGTCAAATAAAGAAATAAAATCTTTAAATAAAAAAAAAAGATCAAAACCTTCTGCACAGCAAAGGAAACAGTCAACAAAGAGGCAACCCACGGAATGGGAGAAGATATTCCCAAATGACAGTACGGACAAAAGGTTGATACCAGGATCTATAAAGAACTCCTCAAACTCAACACACACAAAACAGACAATCACATCAAAAAATGGGCAGAAGACATGAACAGACACTTCTCCAATGAAGACATACAGATGGCTATCAGACACATGAAAAAATGTTCATCACTAGCCATCAGGGAGATTGAAATTAAAACCACACTGAGACACCGCCTTACACCAGTTAGAATGGCCAAAATTAGCAAGACGGGAAACAACATGTGTTGGAGGGGATGTGGAGAAAGGGGAACCCTCTTACACTGTTGGTGGGAATGCAAGTTGGTGCGGCCACTTTGGAGAACAGTGTGGAGATTCCTTAAGAAAGTAAAAACAGAACTTCCCTATGACTCTGCAATTGCACTACTGGGTATTTACCCCAAAGATATAGATGTAGTGAAAAGAAGGTCCATCTGTACCCCAGTGTTCATAGCAGCAATGGCCACAGTCAGCAAACTGTGGAAAGAACCAAGATGCCCTTCAACAGACGAATGGATAAGGAAGATGTGGTCCGTATACACTATGGAGTATGATGCCTCCATCAGAAAGGACAAATACCCAACTTTTGTAGCAACATGGACGGGACTGGAGGAGATTATGCTGAGTGAAATAAGTCAAGCAGAGAGAGTCAGTTGTCGTATGGTTTCACTTATTTGTGGAGCATAAGGAATAACACGAAGGACATAGGGAGATGGAGAGGAGAAGGGAGTTGGGGGAAATCGAAGGGGAGATGAACCATGAGAGACTGTGGACTCTGAGAAACAATCTGAGAGTTTGGAGGGGCGGGGGTTAGGGGTTGGGTGAGCCTGGTAGTGGGAATTGTGGAGGGCACAGATTGCATGGAGCACTGGGTGTGGTGCAAAAACAATGAATTCTGGAACACTAAACAGAAATTAAAAAATTAAAAAATAAAAGAACTTGCACTTAAAAAAAAGAAGTTCTAGATCACACACATAAAGCAGTAAGCAATGTTAGGGGTTATTATGTGCTGCTCATTTTTGAAAAACTGCATGATATGGAGAAATTTTTGATAAAAAGAGAAAAGCCAAACTTTCGCACAAGAAGAAACAGAAATTTGGGTGCCTGGGTGGCTAAGTGGGTTGAACCTCTGCCTTGGCTCTGGTCATGATCTCAGGGTCCTGGGATCGAGCCCCACATCAGGCTCTCTGCTCAGCGGGGAGCCTGCTTCCCTCTCTCTCTCTGCCTGCCTCTCTGCCTGCTTGTGATCTCTGTCTGTCAAATAAAGAAATAAAATCTTTAAAAGAAGGAGGAGGAGGAGGACGACGACGACGACATTGAGGAGGAAGAAGAAACAGAAATTTGTTGCTAATAATGACATCCTCCCTCAGCAAGGGCTCAGGATGGAGACTCCACGGTGTGTTCTACCCAACCTTTAAGCAGCAGTTTGCTCTGTCACGTCATTCCTAAACACAGAAGAGACCACTGCTGCCCAGTTCACTTTACAGCTCAGCAGAAGAAGGAAGCACCGGCCATCTCCGCAGATGGTGCGGAAATCCTGAACACAATGGTGGCTGGTCAGCCCATCTGAGTATCTACTGTAGTCGAGGAAAGAAGGCTCAACACCAGAAACACTGATCTGTCAAAGCAAGGAAAGAGCATCTTACAGATGCAAAATCAAACTATGAAACTTCAACACCTGTTTGGTTTTTTTTTAAGATTTTATTTATTTATTTGAGAGAGATCATAAGCAGGCAGAGAGGCAGCAGAGAGGAGGAAGCAGGCTCCCTGCCAAGCAGAGAGCCCGATGTGGGGCTCAATCCCAGGACCTCGAGACCATGACCTGAGCCAAAGGCAGAGGCTTTAACCAACTGAGCCACCCAGGTGCCCCTGTTTATATTTTTAAAATGAAAAGGTCACGGTAAACCGGCAGGTGAAGACAACGTTAAATGTAATGGAGAGTCTTTGGCTGCAACTTGTGTGGGGTCAGGAATAAGACAGAGACGCCCCACAGACGCCCCACGGTTTCCCACGGTGCTGGAAACCCGCCACAGCTCCTCAGAAAGAAGGAGCCAGATGACGCGCTCACCCGCACATAAATCCCACACAACCCCCAAAACTGTGAAGGATAAGAAAGTTCAGCAGAGTTTCCAGACATGAAATCAACTGACGAAACACCTTTTTATTTAAAAACCGCACAGTGTGAACATTCCCCCAGCAGCAAGGGCCGACCTCCTGGTTGATGATACGGGACAGGGTCGCTTGGGGAAGCTGGGGACGGGCACACAAGAACTCACCTACCATCTGTTCAAATTACTTTGAGTCTTAAAATATTTCCAAATAAAGAAAAAAATTAAATCCCCTGTCTCTGTACTCCAATAATCCATCTGAAGATGCCATTTGAAAAATAGCAACAAAACCTGTAAATGATGTAGGGATTACTTGCCCAAAATCCACAAAACACTGAGGCCCTAAGGATGGACCCAGAGGATGATCTGAATCCGTTGAGAGACCATGGAGGCCTCTTCACGGGGTGATTAACAGACCAAAGAGGCCACTGCTCACAAAGCTATTCCGTAAACTTGAAGTGACCACAACGCATCCCGGGATACTTGTTGAGGGACTCGGTAACCCTGTTCTGAAGCACCCTTGCAGCCCGAGGGCTCGGCACTGCAGGAGGGGAGGAGGGTGTGTGGTGCCCAGTGTGGCCCAGGAACAGATGGGGCAAGGATTTACTGGGAGGCGGGGTGCAGAGGGGGAACACAGGGCAGCTGTCAGGGCAGGGAGCTTGGGAGCATCGGGGATGAGACAGGGGGAGGGAAGTCGTGAGCGGCTGCCCCTGGGGTCCTCCCTGAGCACAGCAGACCAGGGAAGCTAGTGGGATCTGGGAAGCCTCAGCCCTGAGCAGGGGTGTGAGAGCCAGGCTGCCCCAATGCGGGTGTAGGAGACCCTGCAGAAGTGCGTCCCTATGGGCCCGCTCCTGGCAGGGGGCAGGGAAGCTGAGCCCCCTGGACCCACCCCGAAGAGTACGGGGAGACAGGACCCCCCGGGGACGCCGCACAGACCCACAGGGAGCTGAATGGGGACGGTGGAGGCGGGTGGGCTGTCTTGCACACGCCCTGTGGGGACGTCAGACATGCTCGCCCAGAGCCGGCCGGGAGGAGGCATGTGGGAATCCCGAATGGCCTGTCCCACCTGCAGCTTTCTATTTCCCCGTGTGTCCTTCCTCAGAACACACGTGTGTGTGCAAGTATGCGTGTGCAAGTGTGTGTGTGTACACACGCACACGCAGCCCCAGACCCTGGTGTTTCGGGCATTAGAGCCACGTGTCTTCAGTGCCATAGACTGCACTCCGGGTGCGCTGTGGCCCGGCCTTCAGGAGCCGGGAGCCCCCCCAAAGGCGTGGTTACCCCAGATTCCTGCACGGTGGCCCAGGTGGGGTGGAGACCAGAGCTCCAGCTCCAGGGTTGGCGGCGCTGCAGCCACGGGCCACGCTGGAGGAGAAGGCTGGGCGGCATGGGACTCTCTGCCTTGCTTTACCCAGTGTGTGTTGGGGGGGGTACTGTCCAGGGACACTGAGGGACACTGAGGATCTGCTTCGGTTCGGGTTTCTGGGCACCATCCCCAGGGCCGCCAGAGCCCCAGTTCCTGGCCGGGTGCACATGTTTCCCCAGGGTCTGCCCTGCCAGGGTGGGGGGCGCAGAGTCCCCTCCCCATGTGTCCTCCCTCAGAACACACGCAGACACCAGACAGTTTCCACAGAACGTGAGAGTCACCCTGGTGGGGGGAGGCAGGCTCCTTCTGCCTTCCGTGGCTTCTGGCCACACGCTGCTGGAAATGGCACCTCCCTGTGGCTTCCACTGACCTGTGTCGGCAGCGAGGCTGAAACCACCTCCAGCCGCCTGGGGTACTGTGCTTTCCTCCTTGGTGAGGACCCTCTCCCACGGACCCGCAGTGGGAGTGCCCCCACATGCCCTGGGGGGGTCCCCCTTATAGCGGGAGCTCCCGTGACTGCCCTGGTCGGGCTCCAGCAGCACCAGTGTGTTCCATGTCCAGGGCTGCTCTGGGCTGGCCCGGAAGCGGGGGCGGGGGGTGCTCCTTTGCCTTCTGGGATGGCTGTTTAAGAACTCCTGGTTGTGGGGTGAGTCCCCAGCTATTGTCCAGGGGCTGCCATCCCTGGCCCATGATTACAATTAGTGCTGGGTCCCGCTGCCATCGCAAGGTGCCCCCGTGTGGCATGTGCTCCTGGCAGGACTGATCTAACAAGGGCATCCTGGTTCTCAGTAAGACTTCCCGATCGATCGCCTACAAGTCAGCCTCACAAACCTACTGATCTCATCCGAGGACCTTCACATTTAACTCCATAAAATGCTTTTAGTATTTGAATTATAGTTTCCAAAATGTTCTGTTGCTGGTACAATTGTATGGAGATTTTCACGCCCAACAACCTTGCTACATGTGCTGAGTTCAAGGTCAAGTCAGTGGGAATCCACTCATCTGCAGACAATGGCGACAGGGGTGTCCCTGCCAAGTCCACGGGACAGTGTTCCTGCGACTGCCTGGGGGACTGGCCGACACTTCCTCGGGGCCACCGCACTCTCTTCCTGCCCTTAAAAAGAGGGAGTACGGCACTTCCCATAAAACAAGGCTTTTTTGTCTATTTTTTTTGAGGTAACCCTGATGATTCCTCTCTTGTAGGACACTCTTCTGGCATCACAGCTTAAACAGGGAGGTTGCTTCACTTTTCTTAGCGGCACACACACTAACAGTGCACCCTGGAATCAACAGCATCACAGGTTTGACAAAAAACGTTGTAAGAGAGACTCTGAAGATGTTATCAACAAATCCACGGATCCGGCACAACAGTCGAGAAAAGACCACTCTCAAACGCAAAAATAAAACTCCAGCCTTGCCAGACTCCAGAGCTCGGGCGCGCAGACCACATGGCTTCTGCACCGTTGCAGCCCAGCAGCCACACCCCCTCTCAGGCCCAGACTCAGCGGGACCAGAGCCCCCGCCCCCGCGGGAGCAGGAGGACCCGCCGCCCCACCCGGGACTCACGTCTATGGCTGAGGGCTTCACGACCAGTTTGCATCCAAACCAGATCAAGCAGGTTGTGGTGATGGCGAACGTGGACACAAACAGGATCTGAAAGTTGGGGATCTGGAAGACAAGACAGGGGTCACTCTTCCGAGCATAACTAAAAACTAATGGTATCATTGCACCAAATTCCAGGTCATTAATTAAAAATCCCCAGAATGTGCCACATGAGGACGAGCCAGGGCAAGGGCAATGGGGTGGCTCAGTCAGTAGAGCGCCAGACTCCTGAGTTTGGCCACGGTCCTGATCTCACTGTCCTGGGTTCGAGCCTCACGCTGGACTCTGTGCTCAGTGCGCGTCTGCTTGAAGGCCTCCCTCTCCCTCTGCCCCTCCCACCCCGTGCTCGCGCATGTGCACACGCACTCTCTAGCTCTCCCCCGCTAAAATAAATAAATAAAATTTAAAAAAAAACACCATAATGAGCCAAGGAGGGTGCGCTGCAGCCCCTCAAGGCCGGGGGGAGGGTACAGGAAGCCCTGTTGTGTGGGGCATAGGGGCTGCTGGCAGTGCGGACGCACCCGTCCACACGTGTGTGCAGACACACGCGCATGCACACAGATGCACACGGATACACACATGCACGCACGGGTGGGTGCCCGTCAGCCCTGCAGGCAGCCTGGGCCTCCTTCCCCACCGCCCACCTGGCACGTCCCGCCCTCCAAGGCTCCCGCATGGCCCGCAGCCGCGCCCGCAGAGCCTGCACGGAGGCCTGTACTCACCGCTCTGATGTTCCTCCGGGAAACCCCGAAGCTCACGATTGCTGAGGGGAGGCACTGCAAAGAAACCCGAGCTCCGTGAGCCGCGGCCAACCCCTGCTGTCCCCCCTGCAGCGCTCACGCTTCCAAATGACCCCAGACCTGCTGGCCAAACGAGGGCCGCCCGTCCAAGGCACAGGTGCTGGCAGCGGCGCAAGGTCTCAGGGCTTTGAAAACAATTTATTCTGGAAAAACTGTAACTTTTCCGAAGGGACAGAAGACGCAGAAAACGAAAGCTCTCCATGCTGAGCGCACTTAGAGCCAGCCATCGCCAGCTGCACGAGATCGAGGTTGTCCTGGCTGGAGAATTACCCCAGAAGGGAAACTCATCTCCGTGTGAAGAAGTGGAAATGTTCAGGAGTCCCAGAGCCCTGAGGAAGTTCTTGTCAGAGACCCCACAGTTGATCCCCACAGAAATGGAGGACGAGGAAGAGGGCAAGCGTGCGGGCAAACTTGGGGTGTCAGGGTAGTGGGGAGGTGGAGGGAAGGGCACCAGCCTGGGCACCATGGGTGCCAGGTGTCGCCCCTGTAGACACCAGGGCCCCCACAGACCCCACGAGCTACAGGGACAGAGCCTGTAAGGGTAGAGGGGAGCTGGCAGGAGCACGTGGCTTGTGTCCCCAGCCTGCCACTGCTGAGGGGGAAGGGTACCACCAAGGACTTTGCTGGAATGTCCAGCCCAGGTCAGTGCTGCCCGGGAGCATCTGGGCCAGACAGCACTGGGACCCCCAAGAAGGGCCGCTCCGGTGGTGAAAAAGGGCCACCGAGAAGGACCCAGAGACAACGGCAGGGAAAGGGTCCAATTCTCTCAAGGAGCTTTGTCCTAAGGGAGCAGAGGCCAGGCGTCCTGCCAGCTCAGGGACACCCGAAGCAGTGTGCAGCTCTTAGAAACCCAAGGGCTGTTTCCCGCCCGGGTGTCTGCGGCGAGAACCTCAGACAGCATCAAATTCTACTTGAAACTAAAGTCAGAAGGGGAGCAAGTGACAGCAACAGGCCAATCTCAAAGCCAACAACTCCCGACAGACAGCCGCAAAGCCCAGCACAGGCGGGGCGCCTGAGGAGCGGTGCTTACCGAGCCTGCCGCGCAGCGTAAGTAATCCATCTCCGAGGGAAACACGTTCCCCAGATAGAGCGAAAACCCCGACGTCACAAGCAGACAGCTCTGCAAAACAGCAGCACGGCTCAGGGGGCGAGATGGGCCCGCTGGGCCATCAGGCCACTCGACCACGAGTCCTCTGGCCAGGATGGCCAGCGCAGTCGCCAGCTCCCGCCACACCCGACTCCTCCCCTTCTCTCCCCAGCAGGGTCAGACTGAGCGGGAAGGGAGACGCCTCTGTCGGAATCTTGAGCAAGACATGGGGCTTCCCCTGGACGCTTGCTCACCCCAACACGGACAGGTCCAGGAGCCTTAGCATTCCACCCTCAGGGCCAGTCTCGGAGGCCGGGACACAGCGCCGTTCCGCGCTCTCTGCAAAGCTGGCCCAAGCGGACAGCCAGGAAATGACCACAAGGCCAAGGGCTTCCCGGCTGTGAGGGGCACCCGGGCCTCACGGCAGGCCTGAGAGATGGAAACGTCGCCAGGTTGAGGCTCTGGGTCCGGTCCAGGGTCGTGTGTGCCCCATCGTGATGGGAGCATGGGGTCCGGGGTCCTGGGAACAAGGGAGAACACGGTACTCGCCTAGGAGGAGCTACTTACCCCCATCAACACGGAGAGGACCCACGTCTTGTGGGTGAGGCATGGGGGCAGCCTTGTGGCCAGCTGTAGCTCGCTGGGCTTGGCGTCGGGGCCATAGCTCCCAGCCTCGGGCCGTGCCCGCTCCAGGGTGGGCGTCCTGTCGTAGCTCAGCTCCTCCCTGCCCTGCTCCTCCCGCGTCATGGTGCTCGGGCCACAGACCCCGGCATTAGAGGCCACGGGACCGCGGCTGCCGGGCCCCCTCCACTGCCACTGCCACACCAGCAAGAAAACAATTGTCGGTTCCGGCCCGCTCTGAAGCGTCGAGTTAGAGGAAGCTGCTCTCAGTAAAAGAAGTATCGTCCGTAGGAAAACGCCGTGAACCTGAAGAGAACAAGGACCCCTTCAGCCCCCGGTGCCCCAGCGCTGAGCGGCCGCCAGTGCCCCCGGGACGCGGGCCCCCGCACCCCCAGCCCGCACCCACAGTAGCAGCCCCGCGCCCGCTGGAGGTGCCCACCGAGCCGAGAGCCCGAAGGCGCCCACGGTGTGGCCGGTGTGCTCACCTCCAGAGGCTCCGGCCCTGGTCTCTGGGGAGTCAGGAGCCTTGGCTTCCAGCAACCGCTATTCACAGAGGAACAAAAGGGCGGCAAAGCCACGCCGTCGCCTCCCGAATTTCAATGAGACTTGAGAGTGGGACGCTGAGCTTCTGGGGCAGTCGTGTAAGGGCGAGGGCATCGGTGCCAGCCAGCTCTGCTCAGGGCCACGGAGGGGGGTGACCGCCCACCCGTGAGCAGTGTCCGGAGCTCGGAAGCCGGGTGGGGTTCAAACTAGGAGCTGCATGTTCACACCCTCTCGGGCGGCTGGTCCCGCGCTCTGCGACCCCAGAGGATGACCCGTCACCATGGCACACGCACACGAGTGCCTTCAATGCAGGCAGGGCCCTTGACCTGCTCGGAAGGGGGACTGGCTGGTTCCCGCGGCAGCCCGGCACTCCCACAGGCCCTTTATTTCTGCTCACTGAGCAAAAAGAAAGGATGGGAGTTTCCTTGCCCGGAAACACTGGCACCCTGACAGTCACTCTTTGTGGACACGGAAGCCATAAAATGGCTCAAATCAAAGCATTCTGAAAAACTGCTCCTCCAACTGCAAATCCACATGGCGCTGAAGCGAGGCGTGGGTTCTAGGTAACGGGCTGCTCTGTTGTCCTCCTCACCCACCAAACAAAGACCCGAATTTTGTCAAACTACAACCTGGCAAGTCAAGAAGGGATTTCGAACAGATTGAAGACTCTCCCAAACTTCTTCACTGCCTTTTTGTTTGTTCTGGTTTTTGGTGAGAGACGGGCTGGGTGGTGCAGTGGGAGGAGAGCGAACCTCCAGCAAACGCTGAGCAGAGCAGGGAGCCCGACACGGGACTCGATCCCAGGACCCCTAGATCATGACCTGAGCTGAAACCAAGAGTCAGATGCTTAACTGAGGGCACCACCCAGGCACCCCTTCCCGACCGTCTTCTGGATAACTGAATTAGGAGGAATCTAACAGGATGGAACCTTTTGTGTTTTCTTTTGAAGAAAAAAGTCAAGCAGATTTGAGCATTCCTGCAGCTTTCCAAGGTGGTTCCAAACAAAGAAACGGGACCAGGCCGCCTCGAATCGGAGACTGTGGAGCAGCCTCCTCGAGGCTCTGGACTCGTCAGCCCCTGAGAAGTGTGTCCTTGTTTCTGTTGGCAGCGCCAGTTTCCAGAACAAATCGTGTCTTCTCACACAAACTATTGTTCCTAAAATACCCTCCCTCCCTCGTCTGCCCGCTGAGATCCCACTCCTGTTTTAACATTTTCACCGCCATTCAGCAGACACTGACAGAGTGGACAGAGTAGACCACGGTCCTTCCCACGCGGAGTCCGCGCTCTAACCGGAGCACGGGAGTGCACCAAATAAACAGTGTGCTCTGTGACAGGAAGCACGTCGGGGAGTCAGGGCAGGGCTCAGTGAGGAGGAGGCAAGGAGCAGAGTCTCACCAAGAGACAGAACAGAGGTGCCACGCATGCAAAGGTCTTGAGGTGGCCAGGCTGGAGGATGATGGGCCGAGCCGTCACATGAGGGATGAGGCCGCTGTGAGTCTGACTTGGAGGCGGACCTTCTGGAAGATTTCGGGCACAGGAGCATCTGGGAGCAGGCTGTGAGGCAGCCGGTGGGGGCAGCTGCCGGCCGGGACCGTGGGCAGCAGGGGTGGTGAGCGGCGAGAGGTTCTGGATGGATGTGGACGCACCCAGACGGTGTGCCCTGTGGATGATGTGGGGTGAGAGGCTCAAGAGCTCCCGTGCCCGGAAGGCTTCCCCAGGAGCAGTGCAGGGGCAGCATGTCTCCACCGACGTGGACACGACTGTGTTTTGAAGGCCGAGGCTGGTAGGTCTGTTGGGTGTCCACGTGGACCAGCTGAAGAGCCGAGTCGGAGAGGCCAGAACACAGGGCTGATGGATATGGGGGATGGTCTTATGGAGTGGACACTCCTGCTGCAGGCCACCCTGCGGTCCAAGCCTCTCCTTGGCACCCTGGCAGCATGCACGACCAGGGCCCACAGCATCTGCCTTGGGCACGTTTGCCCCCCAACCCAGGAAAACCCAGGGACCACCCCACTCCGGGGTACGTTCCCAGCACCAGTCTGAGATGCAGACTGCATCTGCCTTCTGAGATGTTGGGGAAGGACGACCTTCATAGGCTCTCCAAGGGGAATCATAAGGATGCGGCTCAGAGGGACGCGCAAGGATCAGGCTGCCCCGGACCTACTGAAAGGACAACACGCAGGTCACACCACCCCAGGAAACCGCAGCATCCTGTCCACGATGACCCCGGGGTCCCCAGGATAATCTACTGAAAGGACAGCTCGCAAGTCACAACGACCCCCACGGTCTGACCAACTGAGGACAGCACGAGTCACAGGACCCCGGGGCCCCGGGGCCGATCTACTGAGCACAGCACGGGTCACACCGACGCCGGCCCGGGCAGGGCCCGGGCAGGGAGCCGCCGGGTCGCCCGGGAGCAGCTCCCGACACGGACGTGGATGGGTGGACTCGTCCACACCGCATTCTCCGATCAGGACGAAATCAAGTCAGGAAGTAACACAAAATGCCGGGAAATCCCCCACACGAACGGTTCGTTCGCGGTAACCCGAAGCCCGGCCCGCGCGTCCGCGCCGGTGACCACAGCTAGCCCGCCCCGCCGTGCAGGCCGCGGCTGGACCGGCTCCGAGCAGATCGGAGACGTCAGAGCACAAGCTCAACAGCCAGAGGAAAGGCAGCGCAGCGGGTCCAGGGTTAGCGCTGGAGGCGGCGACCCCCAGCTCGGCCGCGGGGGTCTGCGCCCGACGATCCGCACCGCGGGCCCTGCAGGCAACGCAAGGGGAACAGGGACACGCCAGGGACCGTTGGGCGCCTCGCTCCGTGCACAGATGCCCCGGCGGACACGACACGAGCCCCGCAAGCCACCGGGGCCGAACCTCCGCAGCGCGCTCGGGCCAGCGAACCCACGGGCGGCGCGCGGGGGGGCGGACCCAGGACGCCCGCGCGCACGAGGCCCCGCCCACAGCGCGACACCTGGCGCCCAGCACGACGTCTCGCTCACCGGCACCTCGCCTCACCCGGCGCGTGCTAACGGTCGCCAACCGCCAACCACCAGCTGCTAACGGCCGCGGCGCATGCGGCGAGTCCATTGGCCGAGCAGAGAAGCGGTGGGCGCAGGCGCGGGCGCGCCGACCCCATTGGCCGAGCTGCGAAGCGGGGACGCAGGCGCGGGCGCGCCGACCCCATTGGCCGAGGGCGGCGGGAAGCGCGTGGCCGCGTGCGGACGCTCCAACGGCGGCGGGCGGTGCGGCATCTGAGGCGGCGGCCGGAACATGCTGCGACTCGCGACCAAGCTGGTGGCGTTCTTCTGGAGGAGGGCGGACGGCCCTGCCGAGGACGCGGGGCCGCCAGGGTCCGAGCTCGCGGAAGGTGCCTCGCGGGGCGGGGCCCCGGGCGGGCGAGGAGGGGAGCCTCGTGCGGGGGCGACAGGCCCGTGTGCGCGTGGGCTGGGCGCGGGGTGGGAGCAGGGGCCCCGCGTGTGGGCGGAGCGGGCGGCGGCAGGGTCCGTGCGGCTCACCCTGCACCGAGCTTGCGTCCGTCCTCCCCGTGGGCGCGGAGTTCCGGGCGCCGACGGTCTGGTGGTCGTCGCTGAGCTCTGGAGAACGGAGCGTGTCCGGAGGGAGCCGCGGAGCAGCCGCGGGGAGCCGTCCGTGCGCCGACCCCGCGCGGCCCCGACCCTCCGCAGCTCTGAATCCTCCGCGGCCCCGACCCCGCGCGGCTCAGGTCTTTCCCGAGTCTGACGAGGACCGGCCGAGCCGCACTGGGGACCCTCGAGCACGGCGGCTGCAGGGAGCCTGGCCGGTAGTGGGGACAGTCGCTGCGCCCCGAGGGCTTGCCAGCCTGCAGGCCGGACGGTGTTCCGGCGCCGCGCTCGGGGAGGTCGGGGAGGCGACGCCCCGTGTCCGCACAGCCGTCCTGATGTGTCGGTCGGGAGGGAGCACAGGAGTGGCGGCAGCACGCAGTAAGGGGCCGCGTGCCGGTATGAGCTCGCGTCCCGGCCTCTGCGCTGGACCCGCTTCGGTCACGCCCCCCCAGACCGTCGCGTGGGTAGAGCCGGTCTCCGCGTTACCACTGAGAGCGAGCCCGGAGGCGCACGCGCGGCGGCCGGGGAGCCGGGACGCAGACCCAGGGAGTCTGGCTGCGCGGTCCCCCACCGTCACCTGTAGCCTCGGAGGACAAACCCTGCTTCCAGGAGACCGCCCCCGCCCCCGAGGGCCCCCGCCGCCCGCGCTCCTGGACCCCGCCTTTCTCTGCAGGGTAGGTTTGCTTTTCCCCGCGGGGCTGCAGCGCCGTTGTGTGCGTCGCAGGTGGCACCCAGCTGAAGACCGTCCGGGGTGTCGTGACAAGGTACTGCAGCGACTACGGCATGATCGACGATCTGATCTACTTCTCCAGCGAAGCTGTGGCGAGCAAAGTGCTGCTCGACGTGGGGCAGGAAGTTATTGCGGTTGTGCAAGAAGACCAGGTGTCCCGGGGACTCAAAGCGGTCAGGGTAAGGCCTGCGCGGTTTGCAGCGCCTGTGTGCGCGCTGGGCTGGGCCTTCAGTCAGCCCCGGGGCCTGCGCAGGGCGCTCTCGGTTTCTGTCCGGAGACCTCCACGGGAGTTTCGGCCGG